TGCTCTGCCACATTAGATTAATACGATGAAAACTATAAAAAATATTTCTCAACGAAATACAAAACGAAGATAAATGTTTAAAAAAAAGTATAAGAAGGAAAATTAAAACATTTACCTGAAAAAAAACGACTGAAATGAAGAAAATCATCGGTACAAGTAAATAACTGAAGAAGTTCAACTTTATAAAGTCGCAGATGTCCAAGTTTGAAATTTTCATCCGTTTCCATATGAAAAAAATGAATAATATATATATATATAATTTTTTTTAATATTGCTATTATATTAAATTAAATAGATAAATAAGCCAAAAATCCATAACTTAATATCTTCATGGAAATTTGAGCCACGCCCATCTTCCACCTTATATTCCTGCTAAATATCATTTTCTCACAGGTGATACGTTCTTTAAACAATTTTGCGTATTCTCTGTTATCCCATCCGTATTGCGTGTGAAAATTTTCTTCATGTTACCATTTTTTTTGATCCCAACTTCCATCCCATTTTCATTTTTGCATAAATATGCAGTTCTACTAATTCCTCGCCAATGACTTCAATTATAAGCAAAAGAGCTGACAAAACAAAGAGAAAAAAATTTAACCAATTTTTCAAAATCCGATTTAATGCTTAAATTGTGGAGATTTGATGTGATATGAACTGCTTGCGTTCCATTATGCATCCTGAAAATTCTATTTAATAAAATTCTCGGTCGAACAATTTGATAATTGAATGCTCGATTAATTTTCTTGCTTAACACCAGTGAATCATTAAAATTACTATTTTTATTCAAAAACTGATTGAATCGATAAGAAAATGAAAATGAAAGGAGAAATATTAAAACAAATAAAAACAAATATATTATGAAATAGAAATGAGAGCAAACGAAGAAGAATTTTAACAATAAATTGCAACTAAATAAACGAAATTTGTACCTTTGAATATTTGTAAAATAGAAAAAAATGCGAAAACAATGTTTTTCAACCTATTCGATAAAATAATGGCTAAGGAAGAGAAAAAAAATGAACTGAAAATGTCAAATTTTATCAAAATTTGCACTTTTCCACTGACATCAATAAACGAAGAAAACAGTTTAATTGGAAGAGAAATAATAATAGCGCCTTATCCACAACATCAAAGAGACAAAAGGGTGACACAGTCGCAAAGAAGTTAACAAACCCGAACTCAGAACCCGTAAGTAAGAAGACAACGAAAACGAATTTTAAGCATATCGTTTTAAGGAAATCGCTTTAAGACCGAAAATTCCAAATCATTGTCTGGCGAATCAGAACGATTGTTCCGATTCTCTAAAAATTAAGGAAGTTTTTCCAAATTACTTCATCGGCTTAAAATTATTTCGGTTTATTTTATTTTATATTTATTTTATTTTTGCAAATTGTCGCAATAAGCAATTCTTTTTTACTTTCCGCACTAATTTCGTACTCTTTTTACGATTTAAAGCTTTTTTATTTCCCTAAATCGCCCTTTTAATTTTTTTATGTGACAGGACAGCCGAATAATTTAGATTGTCGTGCTGCTGGCGGACCCGCACTTCTATAGAAATGAAAAGAGAAAAAGGAAAGACGGGAATGGAGTGAGTGCATGTAAATGAGAGACGGCAGTGTGGCTTTCGGGAATAGCACGGTGGTGAGGGAGGGGTGAAAAAAGCGATCAAGAAAAAACGTTGGAGGCCGTAATAGAGAAAGGGGAAATCACGTAAATTATACTGCATTATGTGTGAGGTTGGAGAGTTAGAGAAAGAAAGAACTTGAGGGATGATGAATCAACCACTGAGCCTCTTCAATTTCTATTGAATATTCTCGTTAATTCTTGGGCTTATTTTTGGCTGGCTTGAGATCGCTGACCTTTGGCGAGCTTATTCTTTCTGAATTTCTTTTTTTTATAGGGGCATTCACGGCCCTCTCCGGTTTACCTGGTTGCACCGAATATTAGGCTGGAGTCAGAGCCATTTGCGGACAGAAATTCAGCTGGGCATCACCTGGATTTTGCTTTCATTGACAAGTTTGCTCCAGCCGAGGACAGTCGTACAGTTCGCATGATGGCTTGACTTTAGTCGTGCTCACACCATTTAACCATTCTCTATTGCTTGATTAATATTTTAAACGATACGATGCGTTGATATGTAATTTATCGTTCAGGCAAATGTTCTGATTTTCCTTATAATTCAATAGCAATTTTAAAGAAAAGTTTTGGAATTTTTTTAAGTTCCAATTAAGTTTTTCTCTGTAAGTTTTTATAGAAAATATTCGAAAGTTTGAGACAATGACGTTCAACTTCCTTCCTACATATTACTCGAGATTATTAATGCGAGACGGGCAAAATAAATTTTTTTCTAGAGGAATATTATAGCGATGAGAAGGAAAAAGTGAAAAATGGAAGGGGGAAAAAATAAAAGGATGATCGCAAAATCTACGCCACCTTGCTGACCACATAACTGGAAAGTACCAAAAAAATTTCCGAAATAAGAGGATTAAATATTTGTTTTAGAAAAGCATTAAGTGAAAGCATCTTCGTCTTCTTATCTTATCTCACTGCTAATGATAGCGATTTTATGATTAGCTTATCGAATATCTAAAAGGCATTAATTCACTAATTAAAACACATTTTAATTCCGTTTTAATATTTCTTTCACGTTTAAACTGTTCATTCATCACATACATATATATATATATATCGATTTACAATTTTTTTTGCGAAAAGTTACGCTAAGGGTCAATAAAATAAAGAGGAAAAGGAGGATAAGAGTGGAGGAGTGAGAGGATGGAGAAAGGAGGGAGATGAAGCAGAGAGGCAATATTAAAGATTATCCTTAAAATATATTTGTATTTGTGATGAATAAATAGTTTAATTAGTGAAAGAAATGTTTTTCAAAATTATTACTCTTTTTTGATATCTCCGGTACTTTTCGGTTTTCTGCTGCATAGTAAGGTGAGAAGACACCTAATTTTCATAAATTAAAAAGTGAATTTTCTTCTAACGGCTCTTATCATTATTGGTTAGGCTGGTTTGGCTGGCTTCTGAAATAATTGAAAACATTTTTTTCTACAGTCTAAGCATATGTATCTTTGGACCATCTATGTCCAAAATCTCCTATGCTTGCACTGGTCCAAGTCTTTCGATTCATCCACCTCTCTTTTGACATCATCCATCTATTAGGTCTTACTAAATACCGAAATATGCATCAATTATTGCAGTGGGTGGCTATGAGTATGGGCAGCGTAGGAGACGATTGTAAATATAAAAAGTATTCGAGCGAAAATTAATGCAATCTTGTGAAATTTCATCAGCTCGGCAAACATGTAAAATGTGTCAAGTAGATAAGAATTATCAACGATAGCTTTCAATATCTTCCACCTTCATTGGCCGTGTTTCGCACTTTTAAGTAGTCATACACATTGTATCAAGTAGTGCTGCACCTTGGTAGCTATCAATTTTCGTTAATTTCGTGATGATTCCATGACTGCGATGGCCATAATTTCGTCTTTCGCTTGGTCGTTTCGTATAAGATACAAAATATTTAAAGTCTGGCATTTCTTCAACTCGTAATGGGTATAGAAATACAAGTGAATCGCCAGCATCACCCGGATTTTTATATGGGTTTATTCCTGTATAGAATCGAACCTGGGAATCTGGTAGGAATACTGGTTGTTCAGCGAATTTGCTTGTTCTTTGAAGATGGAAACATGTATTGATAGCAAAAAGAATAAAGGCGAAGAAGGAGCCCTTCACTGATCCTTAGACCCTGACGCCATATTTGCCACAGAGCCCACCGTGACAACATCATATCATATTGCACACTCATTCCAGTCTTTCGCGTGTTATGTCACTATTACCATGTCTCTTTTGGGGACATAGTATTGGTAATTAGAACCTTATAGTCCCTGAAAACTATGAGGCATGTTTTTATTAAGGTTATATATACGTAAAGTAGGAGAAATACTCTAATGACGAAGATATATTAACAGAACTCCTTTTTGAAGCAGGCCATATGTCTGCTTACTCAGAGGAGATTGAATGATTGAATCTTTTTGGATATGAAAATCGCTATGCTATTTCTCGTTGAAGCGCCACCCTGGTGCAGACCAGTATCTCTGCTCCAAGCCGCGTTTAACAGTTGCTTTGGGCCTGAAATGAGGGAGATATACTTGCGACGAACAAGCATTCTCCACACTTTATTTGGATTTGAACAGAGGGTAAATAGTGATGTCCTAACTTGCAATATCCATAGGAATTCTGACTTTCCATATTGCTGTAGCTAACATTTCACCACTTGCAAATGAATCATAGATCGGATGGATAATAGTTCGCTTGGCAGGTTTCCCCTGTTAATTTCCTGGTTGTAGAGCTCATTTTATCATTTTTTCATCATTTTATCATATCATTTTATCCCAGACCTTGAAATCGCAAAGGTTTTGTACGTATCGCACCCGAATATTGTGTCAAGGTCATCCAAACATCTTACCATAGAGTCACTTCGGGATAGAAGAATGGATCACCAATAGCCGTCAGTAGCCATCCGGATATTAGATTTCATGATAAGTTTACTTCTGCCAAAGATAAAAAAAGAAAAAAAGAAAACAAAAAAATTAAAATAAGATAAAAAAAGAAAAAGGTTAACTTTAAAACTAAAAAGTTCTTTTTATCCTTTTTCTGTTTCTTTTAAAAAACTATTTAGTTGATAAAATTAAAAGAGAAATACTTTTCCTACTGCAGAGTTAAACAAATTTTTCAAACTTTTACATGAACATCAATAAATGAACATTATTCATTATTTTATAAATTTTGCGATGTATGGCTCAATTCAACAATTTCTAATGCAAGATATTATTTAAATTAATCGCAGAAGCGGAATGATGTGGCTCTTCGACAGTGTTGTATAATCATTGTCTTCAATTTTCGTTTATAATTCATATCCACAATTTGAGCAATGAGCGATTAGATAAAAGTATTCTACCTATTTTATTTCTCCTAAATAGTGAAACACGATGTGGACAAGGTCAGAGGTCGAAACTTCAACAATTCATGATACAGTAGCTGAACTGCAAGAACTTATTGATGAAATGCGTTAGTACTTTTTTTTCGCACTTTTAGGTGACAGTTTCAAGAAGAGCTTTCCTTTTTTTGTCGGTTTTCCATTCACATCCGAGAGGTGATGCGCTATTGCATTTCCTATAATAAGTGAATTGAAGATCATTTTATCCACCAAATCGGATGTTTTTTTATTTCTAAAACTTTTTTTGAAATTCTGCGTTTTATTGTTTCCTTTACAAATTTATTTAAAAGTTACCTGCAGATTCTTTAATTTTTTATTATTTTTATTATTACTTTTTGTTTTATACTATTCTTTTAGGCTTACAAGATTTTGATTCAATTCGATTTGCAACATATCGAGCAGCTTCCAAGATTCGTTTTATACAAACAAAAACTAATGGTTCGGTGTTTATTTCGAATGAATTTTTTATTCATGTTTTTTTGTTGTAGAAACGATCGTTTCTTCATTACAGTTCATTTGGTTGATATATGGAATATTATTGAATCGTTTCGAGAAAATGGTCTCAATGCACTTCCCGTTACTTCACAAGTAATTAATTATTTAATTTTCCTTTTCTTATAACAGCTCTGACCATTATTGGTAAGGCTGGCTACGCTGGTTATAGTGAGATATGTCGTTTCTTGCAATGGGCAACGAAGAACATGTGATAACCACCGTAGGCAACATCGTTTAATGATGTTAATGGTGTTAATGCAAATATTTCAGGATGCATTCATGTGAAATTTTGTCCACTCGACTCGTAAAATGCATTAGATATAAGTGGTCAAAGGTAGCAAACTTTTTAAATGCATTTCTAGTTGCTGTTATGAGAATTTTAATTTTATCTTTCACTTGGTCGTTTGGAATTAGAGTGGATTCAAGACATTTAAAGTCTGCACTTAACCGGCCTTAATTAATTGATAAAAATATTTTATCAGTTTCTGGTATATAAGACGAATTTTTATTTTATTTACATTGATCGGGAATTCTCATTGCAGTTGTCGATTTGTCGATACATTATTCAGCATTATTTGCATTTCGTCATAATTATCAACAAAAAGGATTACGTCATCAGCATATTCAAGACCTGTGATACGATGCTGTGGACTTATTTGATATCTCTTAAATGCAGACATGCGATGTCCATTATCTAGTCTATTGCATAGTGCTGTAGGAGAATATTGTAGGAGAAAGGTCGCAGCCCTTAACAGACACTAGTTTATATTTCGAAAGGATCTGCCAATTTCACGTATAACAGACCTATACCGATATAAGCTAATAACATACCTTTATGAGTCGAATGATCTTCTCTGGAAAACATCCCTCACATTTCGTCACACTCCAGAGCGTTGCTTAATCAATTGAATCGAAGACAGCTATAAAATCGAAAAAACAAGTGACTGTGGATTGGCGATATTTGAAGAGATCATTCCAACACCTTTCTTAACGTAAATATCTAGTCAACATAATGTGTTAGATTAAATCCAGCTTGGTTAGAGTGCATCTTTCTGTTTCTTATTGCTGTAAATCTATTGAGTAGAAAGGAAGTTAGGATCTTTAGTAGGCTAATTCCTCGTTAATTGTCACAGTATGTCTGTTATTCTTCCTGGAGATTGGAAACAAAATTGCTTAACTTCAGCCACCCGGTATTATTTTTTCTTCTATACCAGAGAATATATTTGTTGAAAATGTGTGATGAAAAGAGCGAAAAGGGCGACAACATTTTAGCTCTAAGGCTGTCTCCTACAGAAATTTTATTAGCCTTATGCTTCTGGATGGCGATGATTATTTTCTTTTCTGCTTGCAGTTCGCAGTTGCAGACATGTTTTTTAGAAACTAATATTTTATCATCTCTCATTGTCCAAAGTAGAGCACCGTCCCATCCTCACTTCATTTTGAAAAATCGAACGCACACAATCGATAATTACAGCAAACGATTCAGTTAGAACAACAGATGGTTAATGTTGGCCTCAAAGAATTCGTTTGACCTTACAAGATGATCTTTAACAAATTTACCACCATTAGCATAGCGTATCACTGCACTTCGTAAAAAGTAGTAGGTAATAAAAGTCGCCTTATGAAGGAGGCGAAATAGTTTTCTATTATAATCTAATCGAGCAGCAATTTCCAAAACAAATCGCTTCAATATCTGTCACGCTGTGCTGCTGTCATTTTTTCAAAGTATCCGATACCCAAGATCTCCTGGCATTCGTACTTTAGCATTTTTGGACAATTGGATAATTACCTCCGATGCCCAGCTAGCGCATTGGTTGGCTTTTGGAGATATGCCTTTAGATGTGACTAACGACATCTGCCGTTGCCGTGATGTCGTTGATATTTACCACTGAGATGCTTCAACAATTTGGTTTTAATGTACTTTCTGTCGCCGAATCTTTTTTTAAGACGTTGTTTCTTGTGAGTTATCAATTTTATGTCGATTATGGCTTAAATCTATTCTAATCCATTCTATTCTAATCTTCTGATATTCTTCTTCTTCTAACAGCTCTCACCATTACTGGTTGGGGTGGCTCCAACGGCTACAAGGGTAAGACGCTTCCAACCGGCACGCTCTGATGTCTGATGCCATTCTTTTTTCCATCGTCTAAGTCCATATATTGCTGGTCCACATATACGTTCAAAATCTGGACCATATCAGTCCAGGTCTTGATTGGCCCACCTCGCTTTTGACGCCATCCATCACACAGTTTAGCATGTAACGAAATATGCGTCAACTCTTCTGGTAGACGACGGAGAAGGTGCCCTAACCACCGAAGGCAACGCTCTGTGATAATACAGGTTAATACAAGTGGTATTTGAACAAAGGTGGATGCGATCATGTGATATTTTATCCGCTCGACAGACCCGTAAAATATACCTTAGATAAAAGTGGTCAAAAGATAGCTTCTTAATATCCTCCACTCACATTGGCCATGTCTCAGAGCCATGTAGCAAAATCGAATCACGGCTATATAGATGCAAACTTTCGTTTTGATGGTAATTTCACGATGGTTTCATAAAGGTTTCGTCAACCAGAAGAACGCATTTCTAGATCCGGGTATAATATCGTCTAATAGTATAATCGTCTTTGCCTGGCTATTTGGTATTAGAGTGGACCCAAGATATTTAAAATCGGGTAATGAATTTATAAAAAGAAGCATTTTATAGCATATAAGATGAAAAGCCTTTCGTTTTATTTACATCGACTCTGAGTTCATTCTTGCTGCAGTTGCTAAAATTATTTAGAATTATTTGCATTTCGTTATGACTGTTAGCAAAAAAGACTACGTATTCAAGATCTGTGATACGATGCTCTGGACTGATTTGGACACCCCTTGAGTGCCGACAAGCGGTGTCCATTACCCACTCTATCGCATAGTTGAATATTGTAGGGGAAAGTAGGGGAAAGTACGCATCCTTGACGGACACCAGTTCTTGTTTCGAAGGAGTCTGTCATTACCCCATATACACAGATCTACGCCGACGTACTCTCATAAAATGCCTTTATGAGTCGAATGATCTTCTCTGGAGCATCGTCGCATTCCATCATTCTCCACAGCTTCTTTTTATAATTGAATCAAAGGCAGCCGCAAAGTTGATGAAACATGTGACAGTGGGTTGCAAATATCTGAAGCAATGTTCCAACACCCTTCTTAACGTGAATATCTGCTCAGCACAATTGCGCCTCGGTCTGAATCCAGTTTGATTAGGGCGCATTCTGCTATCTGGTACTTCCATAAATCTGTTGAGTAAAAGGGAAGTAAAAATTTATAAATTCATGATATATTCATGAAGGTTACCAGTTTCTTAGCGACTGTCTAATAGGGATTTAATTAATTAGTTATTTAAACTTCAAGTTTTCCATTTCATTTTTGTAATTGATCATAGTTTTCCTTTCAGGTTTTCTATATAAGTTTTTTTTATTGTGTTTTTATTGCTAATTTTTGATCGAATCATTTAGGATTTAATTATTGTAATAATATTATATAATTACAGATGAAAATTTCACGTCTCGAACTTCTTTTGGCGACAATATTTCATAATTTAAATAAGCGATTACCTACTGCTCAACACATCAATACTGACAAATCGATTTCACTTCTTCTTAGCTTCCTTATTGGTGCTTATGACAAGTTAATGATTTTTCTTTAATAACATTACATACAATTAAAAATTTTTATCATTAGATTGTCCTACAGGGATTAATATAATCAATAATTTTCTTTTTTTCGCCTGGAGTCAAAAATATTGTCGCCTTAAGGTACTGCAAAAATTATAAGAAATAATAGGCAATAGTAGGCAATGCTTGCAAGAATTAAAACATTAAGCATCATTCATTTTTAACTGCCGTTACCATTGATCATTCTTATCGAGACTGATCATTTTTACAATTGTTCCCTGTTTCGTTGATTTTTTTAAGACAACATACGGGTCGTTTAACGGTTTTTTCGATCAAAATCGCTCTTGCAACGATCTGTGCTGGAAAATTGGTTGATAAATTGCGTTGTAAGTTAAACTATATCTAAATTATTCCTTTTAAAAAAAATTTTCATAGAATTGATGAAAGTTTGAATCAAAAAGGGAGGTTTAACGAGCGGTCTAAGGCGCTGGTTTAAGGCACCAGTCTCTTCGGAGGCGTGGGTTCGAATCCCACTCTCGTCAGTCCCTTTTCTCGCGATAAAATCGCGTTTAACAGTGTCTGTGCTATCGAAATGTTCATTGTGCGGTGGTCCCGTATAAAGGCAGGTTAAAATTTATTTATCATTTATTTTTTATAAATTGGAAAATATTTTAGCAGAAAAACCAAGAATATGGTAATTTGAATATATGGTATATTTTTTCATTTATTAATAGTAAAAAAAAGTCATTATGATAATTGATATTAGTGAACTGGTGAATAAATTGGTTAAATTGGAAGATTTTGAAAATGGTAGAATATTTCTTTTGCAAAATATTTAATATAAAACCTAAATATTTGACCTAGAAGACCAAAAAGGCTTTTTATTTAATTAATATTTGCGGGTCATTGAGGTCAAATATGGACTATGGACTATCGTTATATTTTCAATGATTCATTAAAAGTAAAATTATGAAATAAAATGAAATAAATTCAGATGCATTTTCGCAAATCTCAGATCCAAATGGTGTTATGGATATTGATAAGTTTAATGATTATCTTCAGCAAGTATTGGCATTAGCCACGGCAGTTTTTGAAGGCCCAACATTTGGTTTTTCTGAAGCTGCTGTTGAACAATGTTTTTCAAAAGTTATTTTGTTTATAATATATTCTTTAAATAAATTATCACTCAAAAATCAGGGGATTCGAAAAAACTTAATTTTTCAACTTTCGTTTTATTTACATAAAATAAATAAAACGAAAGTCTTTTCTTCTTATGTGCAAGAAGCTGATAAAATGCCTTTTTTTATAAATTCATTGCCGGTTGAGGAAGTGCCTGATTTCAAATACCTTGGATCCACTCTAATACCAAATGGACAGGCAAAAGATGATATAACTTGGATTTACGGCATCTAGAGATGCGTTCTTCCGGTTGACGGAACCTTTAGGGAGCCATCGTGAAATCACCATAAAAACGAAAGTTCGCATCTATATCATCCGTGATCCGTTTGATCTTACTATATGGTTCTGAGATATGGCCAATGAGAGTATAGGATATTAAGAACTCTGCCTTTGACCACTCTTATCTAAGGTACATATTACGGATCCATCAATAATATCCGTCGATACGGATAAGATATCACAAGATCGCATCCATCTTCGTTCAAATACCACTTGTATAAATAATCTTACCACAGAGCTCCGCCTTCGCTGGTTAGGGCACATTCTCCGTCGTCCACCACAGGAGTTGACGCATATTTTGTTATTTGCTAAACTGTGTGATGGATGGCGTCAAAAGCGAGGTGGGCCAATCAAGACCTGGACTGATATGGTCAGGAAAGATTTTGAACGTATATGTGGACCAGCAATATATGGACTTAGACGATGGAAAAAGGTATGGCTTCCATTACTTTCGACGATGGCATCAGACCGCGCCGCTTTGAAGCGTCTTACCCTTGTAGCCGTTGAAGCCAGCCTAACCAGTAATGGTGAGAGCTGTTAGAAGAAGAAAAAATTTTTCAACTATTAAACGTTTTTTTCGTTCAAAAAAATTATTTTATAAAATATATTGGAAATTTTCCAGGATCAGAAAGTCACTTTAAATATATTTCTCGACACATTTATGTCAGATCCTTGTCCATCATGCCTCATGTGGTTACCATTGTTGCATCGAATGGCTAGTGTTGAACACGTTTATCATCCTGTTGTTTGTGATGCCTGCCAAGTATTTAGTATTTTATATATTCATTAGTCAAAATCATATTTTTAAAATGTGAGGTGAATGTGTAAATGTGAATATGGATCTGTTTTATTTCGTAAAAATAAAGTGATTCATTTAATGATTCAAATAATTCAAAATGATTCAAATGATTCATTTAATAAAATGATTTGAAACGAATAATGGTAATTTAGGTTCGATCATTTACCGGCTTTCGCTATAAATGTCAACGTTGTACGAATTATCAACTATGTCAACAATGTTTTTGGCGTGGTCGGACCAGCTCAACACATTCCAATGAACATGAAATGAAAGAATATTCTACCTATGTTAGTTTATTTTTATGTATTCCTAGAAAAATTATTAAAATAAATATATTTTCCTTTTTTTGTGCACGCTGTGGTGCTTTATGGAAAGTTATTTTGTTTAATTTTAAAAAAAAATGGAAATATGGTAAAACGAATATTTGCATTTATTCCAAATTTCTTTGTTTTTATCGCAAATTTCTTTCCAAATTTCTTTGTTTTTCCAATCAAAAATTTTCCTTGAAAATTAGAATTGTCCTATTTCTTCTTTATATAATTTAGCATCAAATCGGCTTTAATCGGCTTTTTTTGCAGAAAATTGTTTTTTCCATCGAGGAAATTAATAGAGCTAATTAATAGTAGAGAAAACAGAATTGACAGCATTTGAGAGCCTTCTGAAATCAGATTTTTGCTAATTGATTATTAGCATTTTTTCTCATGTTATCGGATGTACTTTTAATATTTGTTAGAGAAATATTTAGAGAAAAAAAAAATGATTATTTAGAAAATTTTTCCGATAATTCGATAGGAAAGGCGTGAAATTTTCTCGAAATTGTTCAAATCTTGTTACAAGAATTTATCAAGAATATTTTAGTCATTCATTCAAATCTTATTTACTTTACTGTTCTTATTCTTCCTCATATTTATTTCTTCATTGTTATTACTTTTGTTTTTTGTTCTTTTTGATGGCAGGTTTAGAATTTTATAATAATCGTTTTGGCTTTCTCTTGGTTTATTTTTTTTTAAATTTCTCTTGATTTCTTGTAATAATTCATATAATCAAATTTTATTAAAAGTATTATATTAAAAATATTAATATAAAAATATTAAAAAATGCTAATTAAACAGTAGCTAAAAAAATAATAAGGAAACTGGTTATATCTTATTGTTGTGTTTAGTTTTTTTTTTTCCTTCAGAAATCTCCTACGAAACAATTGGCACATTCAATTCATAAGTCTTTACGGTGTATGCCTGTGGTTAACAGACCGCTACATCCTGTTTTTCCTGACCATCCACAACGACCACTTGATTTAACAAATGTTGTCCCAGTGACACCAACATCATCGCGGCATTGTCTTTCCGACCATCAAATTAGCGAATGGTCATGTTATATGTTGCCTGGTCAATTCCCTACAAATGGTTTAGCAATGGACGATGAGCACAAATTGATTGCACGGTATTCCGCTAAATTATCAGGAAGAACGCAGGTTATTTTCTATAAATGTTACATTAAAAACCCCATTGTATTTAAGTTGTTTTGAACATTTTATTTTGTTTGTTTTTCTTTTTAAATATTGTTTAAACGATTTAATTAAATTAGTTTTTAGAAATTTTGTCTTATTCCTAGAATTATGGTTTTTTTATTCAAAAAGAAGTATAGCAAAATATTTCGGGATTATTTTCATATTTTTTTTTGCTTTCAGTATCCATCGAATACAGCAAAGGAACGGTCAATTGCCATAGAAGAAGGAAATTTCTCAGAACGAGCCATGATTGCCAAATTAGAAGAAGAAAACGGTGAAATGTTAAGAGAGATGGAACTTATCAAACAACAGCAGGTTCTTTTTGTGTTTTTATTAATTAAGCATTTTATAATTACGCATTAATTTTTCACATTCATTATTCGATTTTAAAGATTAAAGATTGATGTAAAGGCGATCTTAAAAAAAATTTCTTTTAAATTCAACGTTTTAACTGAACGACGGAGGTTATTGTCTGTGATATATATTTAATATCCTTATCTTATATCTGCAATATCTTGAGACCACTAGGGAAGAAAAATTGGTTAGAAGACTTATAGAAACATAATATTGGATATTTATGTTCCTTGAAATACCTAAAACTAAAAAACAAAAAACTTCCGACAAGAATGCAAATTTTAAAAGTGAAACTTACTGATCTTTGTATCTGTCAGAGGTTATATAATTACAGATACATGTTTATTTTTTTTAGTAGTATAATATAGTATTGTAATAGAACAGCTAATAATAGAATAGAAAAAAGTAAAAAATGAAAAATTGTTGAATTTTATTTGACAATTGAATTAACTAATTGTTGAATTGGTTTGATATTGGATGATAACTTATTGAAAAATGAAAAAAATCACTGTATTCGCAAATTTAAATTAAAACTGAAATAATTAAAATAATCCCTTTATGTAGGATTTCTAAATGGATAGAACAAGAGCCACTTTTAGGAATCAATTTACAAAAATTACTTAAGTTTAAAAATGATTTATCTGACATGTAAAAGTCGTTTAATTGATGAATTGATGAATTTATGGTGAAATTAGCGACAAGACCAGTATTTTTGAGGATATTTATAATCGGTAGAATCAGTTGGAATTTCATGTATATATTGACTTGATGTCGAATTTTTGCTGCTGTTGTCAGCATCTAATATCTATTATAGTAACTGTAATTGTCAGTGCGAATTTCAATTAAGCTTATAAATATATTCGTACTGATTTATACTTTCTCTGATACGCCGTCTTGTTTCATAATTTGCTACTCTATTGATCAAATCAGAAACAGCAGCAAAGTCGATGAAGTACATAGGCCAGTAGAAGCCAGATAGTTGAAGTAATTTTTCATTACCCTTCTCAGCACATGAAAATTTGATCAGCGCGATTATACCGTGTACTAAATCTTGAGTCCTGCATTTCTACGATTCTTTTCAGAAACTCTTCCTAGAAATAATAAGCTATCCCTCGACAATTCACGCAATGCGTCCTATTGCTTTCACAGGAATCAGAAGAGGCATTGCTTTTTTTGCTCCAGTCATATGTTATTTGTTGCTTATCCCAAATAGAAGCTATGTAGGGTGTACTATGAAGGACACTAACCAGCGTTTGAAGCTTGGCTCAAAGACTATTTATTGAGGTTTTATTGATCTTTTTGAATTACAGAGATTATTATTGTCACAATGTACATTCCTGAGTATTTAACGACCTATCTAATTTAAGATTCAGAGAATTTTCTGTTTGATATAAACCTTTAACATTCGCATCGAGATTTTAATCTTTAACTCGGATCTTTCCGTTTATCATTTGTCTTCTTATGGTTCCAATTTAAAGAGTGGGTAAAAAATAATTTCCGATCTACTATAGATACTTTTTCTGCGTTCAGAACGATATTCGGTATCATTCAGCTTGGCGTCGTTCGAGTATATCCTAAAGTGGATTTAGCCGACTCTTAAGGCTTCAGCTGGGATTGTCACTTATTCCAGAGGTCAAGGTTCTTTAGTTGATTCAGTTTAGAATTTATCGTTTGTCCTTGAATTTTTAAACTTGAGATATTCAAAAGATTTTGTATTGTCATTTTAGTCCGGATCTTGGCGCTAACCATAACATGCTCTAAGTTATTAATGATATATGGTCAGTTTGATTGATTTTCTAAAGAGTTCCATATAACTAGATTTACTTTTAAATTATATACTGGTGACAAAAAATCAAATGTTCTTTAATTCTCTTGGCATACAGAATCCCAGTTTCGTACTTGCTGACCATAGTAGTTAGTGGGACATCATCTTGTCCTGCACGCTTTTTTCAAATTAGCAGATTAAGATTTGCATCCATTTGAATCCATCCTTATCTTGATCACCCATCCTTATCCTGATCATTGAAGCACAAACATTGGAGATATTGCAGAACTTGCCTTCTTTAAAGTGAGCGTAGACCACGTTTATCATTAACAGAATTCCTTAAGATTAAAGCATTATGCTTTTCTAAGCCCTTTGGGTTATGGCAATCGAGTCCAAAACACTACTTTTGCATGACCACTAATTCTTATTCTAACCAAATGCATCTCTCTGGTTCCAGAATTAGGAAGGTCGATTTTCGGCAGGTAGCTAATGCCCACACAGTATTAGGATAAAGTGTGAACAGTTATCTCCTGACTCATTATATCCATAAGCATTAAGTTCTGACATCTACACCTCTTGGCATGTAGAGCAGGCTAACATTTAGTTAATTTCCTTAATTGAGTTAAAACAGTTAGAAATAATATAATAATGTAACTTATTATAATTACACGATTGCTTTTGCTATTACCATTTCCAAATCCTATTCTCTTATTTGTTGCCTGTACCACCAATTAGGGATACCATGCGAATACGCTTATATCTTTTGAGAGTTGATTATTTTGTCATAGGTTGACTACCGGATTCGATTTGATTTTAGCAAGGCAAGCAAAGAAATAATAATAGTAATGTAACTTATAATATTTTAAAAGAAAAATAAAAGGAGAATAGGGCAATGAAAAACACTATAGGTCGTTATACTTTTTTATTTCAGATATTAGTTTTGGTATTAGTATTTGCTATATTTAAGGAAATGGAAAATACGGATGATCAACTAAGTGAACTAAGGGAACGAAAAGTGCAGCTGGAGGAGAAAATGCATGTTATGCAGCAAACTCGAAGGCATTTAATGCAGCAACTCGAAGTGCTAATGTCCCAACTGAATGTAAACTTTTAAAATTTTTTTATAACCTCTTCTTTCCTTTCATTATTCACTGTTAATATTGATTAAATTGATTTACCCTCAAAAAATTGAGCGATCTTATTGAATATTGAATAGAATCTGGTTAAAACTAAAATTCCATTATTTAAAGGTGTGATTTTAGGCGAAAAGAACGGTTCAAAATGGTGGTAGTATGAATGCAATACCAGAATCACTTAATGGTATAGGTGATCGTGTAACTTCTGCATTTCATGAACGTGGGATACGAACAGGCTCACTGCCTGCTGCACAACTTCAAGGTGATTTATTGCATGCTGCCGATGATATTACGAATAATATGAGCTCTCTTTTAAGAGAATTGGATCAAGGTTTGTTCTTTTTATATTTTTCAATTATATTAAATTTTTAATATTCATTAATATTAATTTTCTAATAAATCCAAACAATTGATTTTATTTTCAGCTCAGGATATAGCCAACGGAAGTATTGAATAAAAGTCATATCAAGGCTTTGTTTAGTAATGTTAATTATTATTTTCGATTATTTATTTCTGGATTTACAAATCAATGTAGAAACAAATTCTTTTTTCGCTTTCAGTTCCACACTAGGTGTAAGATTGCGATTTTCGGTTAGGCTTGCTCATTTATTAGCATAAGGCTTATATTTTAATCAGGCAATACGATTTCGACCATATTGCCATTTTGAATCAGATAAGTCCAGATAGATTCAGAACATCAAATTTTTTGAGAGATTTCATTTTTTTTCATATTTGTTTACCTTTGGCCAAATTTTTTAAGTGGTAAAAATGAATACGAAATATTAGAGAAAACCAGTTAAACACTATAATTATTTGTCTTTCATTCCCGATTTCTTTTTATTACCTAATCAGATGTGATTTTTTGTCAAACTCAAAATCGAGCCATTTTTTTGTTTCATACGTGAAATTTTTTAAAAATCATTTATTCCCTCACTTATGCACAAATGGAAAAGCGAATAAAAAACAAAAAGAAACAATATTATTCGACCGAATAAAATTTTTTTTTGCTTTTGCATTCAAAAATACACGAAGAAAGAGCCAAAAAATCGAGGGGAAAAAATAAATTTCAAATTTTTAGGAACCAATAAAAAAAAAAGAATCTAAACATGAATGGCGGGAATATTTTAATGTTAAAAAAATGGTCTTAAAAATAAAGCAGAATTTAGCCGTAGCAACCTTGTATTTCGGCTTCATATGCATTGATCAGTTTTTTTGTTATTTCCTGCAAAATTTACTTTACATTTGTGGATATCTTTTCCATATACTCCAAATAATATGTATATATATTGATAACTTCCACACTTTAGATAATGCCATGTTTGAGTAACCAAATTATTATTTGAAGAGAAAGGAGTGAGTAGTACTGAAAATTAGTGATAGTGATAAACAAATGGAGCTTGAAAACATACCTCTGCAGTGTTTTTGTCATTGAACTGAATCATCTTTCCATTTGAATCTCCCAAACCAAGAAAACCTTTTTGTTTTTTCTTCAACTCGAGTTTAACACCTTTTTCAATTCTTTCTGGCGCTTTCATCTCAGAATACATTATCTGCCAATCGACGTCCCATGAACCAACCAAGTCACTCTTTTTTACTAGCAGAACTCGTCTTTAAGATCAGATAAATCAGTTATGCTTTATGCTGAACTTACCATTAGAATCAATTTGATTTTTTTTCTAATATGTATGAATTCATTTTAAAATCAAAAATTTTTTAAAAGAAAAGCTGACTTATCGGTAACAATGAATACCAGTTTCGATGAGATTGGTGCATGCGCAACAAATGCGTCTGTATCAGCAATTGCACCGCGATCAGTCTCCTATAATAATAATGGTTTGATTGATATATTTAATGGCCAACTCTTAATTCTACCTTGAATATTTTAGATCCTGCAGCAATTTTAAATGAATATGGCCGAACAATATTATCGGCAAAAATCACACGCGGTGGCCTTAGTGCTGTAATTTCATTGGATCCAGCGGTAACACTGAAATCAGTAGTTTTAAAAGTTAACCGATAAATTAACCAACTAAAACCATCAATTTCATTAATTAAATAAAAATAAAACAAAAAACATACGTCTTTACAGCATCCATCGAACTACTTGCAAAATCAACCACTCCAGAAACGGGTCGAACAACTGCGCCGACCAGCCCTTTTCCTAAACCTACCATGAAGCCGCCTACACCGCTAGTTCGAGCACCTGAATGAGCAATATAAAATGAATATAAAAATGATGCTCAAAATTTATTGGACTTCTGACCTTCTTTACTTAAAATTGACAGTTTATTTCAACACTGAACCAGTTAAGTAAAATCAAAAAACCGAAAATAAACACAAAAAGTAACTAAACAATGACTGGTCAAATAAATACCTTCAAGTGGTTTTGATACAATTCCAGTTATACCTTCATAAAGTCCCTGACCAACCCCTTTTGCTCCTCTAGCCATTCCTTCACCGAAGTTCTTAGGTCTCCTATTAATAGCTTGTTGCCGTTTTCGCTGATAGTCTTCGTCTAATGTCAAAGCTGCTACGCCCTAGATGAATAATCTTGATACAAAGATGAACAATTTGAAAATAAATATTGTAGGGTACATATAAAAATTAAAAATAAATAAAAAATAAAATTGTTATGCAAAACCGACATACTTTTCCCAAAGTACCAGTTATCCTGGATACAGCACCAGATGCGCCACCCACTGTAGCACTGAAGAGGCTTTTAACGCCTAAAGCAACTCCTTCAGCGAATTCTTCTGGTCCTTGTATAGCTCCCTAAAATAACAAATTACCACCAAATATGAAAATAAAAATATCCCTATAAGATTTCTTATAATTCGATTTCCCGATCCCTAGCAGAACGGATTTTAAAAATTTACTTATTTTCAAATTTATTTACTTGAAAAGGCTGATAGAAGAAATCTTCAACTCCAGTAGATAAATCTCGCACCAGTCCAAATGGATTACCAATTATATCAAGACCAAGTACAAGCACATATAACTGCTTTATTGCTTGTTTCATGTAATGAGAAATTATCTCACTTTGCAACTGTTGGCGATTATAAAACATGAATTTACGCTCGAAAAATGCCAATCTTAAAATTTTAAAGAGGCAAATTTCTAAATTATAGGAATTTAAATTACTACCAAAATTACGAAAAATGATTGGAAAAAAATAGTTGTAAAATAGATAGAAGCTAAAAAATCCATAAATTTGAGAACTCAACAAAAAAATCTGAATTCCAATATTACAATATTAATCATACTTAAAAACGACATCTTGCAACTCTGTTAGTGTAACTCCGACACTTTTTAAAAGAACATTGATGAATTCAGACTGAATGGGGGCTGACGCTTTATTTTTACCAGAAGAACCACCTTGTGAGAAAGATAAATGAATCTGAAAAAGATTTTAAAAATTAGGAAATAAAAAAAATAAAATATTGGAATATTAATTACCATTAAAGGAGATATATGCAGATCATCATAAAATGCTTTCTGCTGTGTTGCAGCCGTTGTCAACGCCATTTGTGAAAGTTGATCCTTCGTCATTTCCATGTCTTTTTCAAAAATATCCTTCTAAAAAAAGATTTTTGTTGTTTTGAACAATAAAAATAAACAATATATAGAATAATTCATTGAAAAATCATATACAAAACAATACCGTATAAGGCTTGATGCTCACATCATTAGAAAGAAAACTTAAAATTGCGTTAATAAATCCTTGATCAACTTGTATAGAGAATTCTTGGATAAGTAAATGCAAATATTTGATTTCAACAATGTTGCTATATTCCGACTTACGCATTGTAAAACTAAATTCCATAAATGGCTTTGGAGCTGAAAAAATAATCTTCCAAAAAAAGATTTTTGTTGTTTTGAACAATAAAAATAAATAATATATAAAATAAGCCAAAAAAAGCAAAAAAATGGCTCCTTTTCATAAAAAAAAAGAAATTTACGATCGGACAATGCAAATTACCAAAAATCGACTTTTTAATAAAAGAAAACTTCACCATTATCGGCGACAATTGATTTCGGTGGTGCAACAACATTTAAGATGCAAGGAAAAACACATGCTGGTAGTTGATTATCAACTTGAAGATGATTTACCTGAAAAATTTTTGCTATACAAAAAGAAAAAAACTAAAAATTGCAAAAGATTTAATTTTATGGTTCGTTATCAAAATCTAAAAATTCTACTTTTAAATGTATTTGCATCTGATGAGGACTTTGTCGTAATTGAATCCAAAGACCAGTTTCAAATTGTCGGCGTATATTCGTCTAAAATATTGATATCATAATTTTAATTTCCGTTGTTTTGTGAAAATATTTTAATTCTCACGATATAAAATAAAAGAGAACGATTCCACGATTCAATATAAAATTTAAATTTTTACATAGAATAAAATGACCAAACTTACCTCGCTTTTCTTTTTTTTTATAACCATCCTAGAAAAATCAATATCGAATTTATCAACTTTAACCAAATCTACTTTGTTTAATAGCCAATTTTGGTATGAATTTTCGATATCTTCCATTTGCTTAATGGTGAATAATCTAAAGCAATTATAACTTTAATCAAATAATTACATCATAAGTTATGAAAAATCATTTCATCATGGTTCTTTTTTTATTATTTATGTATAAAAGGCATGGATCATCCTCAACCTTGGGTTCTCTACCATTAATAAATCGAAAAGATTAAAAACAAAACCAAAAAAAAAACAATTACCTGAATCTTGATCTCACAAACTGCTCCCAGATAACTGCTGATGAGGCAATCCCCATGTAAATAATTTCTTCACTGTTTATATTATTCACTAACGATAAACCAATGCCTTGTAAAGAGATTTCAATCTGCTGATCAACTGGTTCAATCTCATAAGCTTCATATGCAGTAGTCATAACAGCCAAATCATCAGTAAATAAAAATACTCTCTGCCTGCCATTTAAAAATGATACCTCAAAGAAGAAGCCAATAAAATTTTTTTTAAGAAAAATAGAATTATTTATTGGAAATATTTAAAATTGTTTTAATATTCGAAAACTGCCAATTATTTACCCAATAATAATTTCCAGATGGACTATCCGAGACCTTGTAGCTATTATAATTATTCATATATAGACCATCACATTCAGTAATGTTGCCACTTTTCCATTCCAATTCACGGTTGCGAGTTACGTCCATCCATGTGAAAAAACAGCATTCCCAAGGATCAAGTAGTTTTTTATCTGGTGAACCTTCAAGACGTGGAATAAAAACTTCATTCTTCAACTTCAAACTTCAAACTTATTATTGTTGTTAAATATTTAGAATCATTAAAGAGCATAATTTATTACCTTTCTGACCGAATTCAACAGGTAAATTGGTGGCATTCATAATAAATGCTGGTGCCATACCAGGATTAAACGGTTCAAGTTGAATTATGGATGATGACTCTCCTAATGTACAAGTGACATATATACCCAAATACTATAACATGAAATTGTTTAAGAATTCATTATAAAGGGATTTTTTCCGATCTTAAGAATAATTTCGAAAACCTCATTGTTGATTTGGCAAAATCCTTCGAAATTTTCCGTAAATGGAAACATTCCAGATTCTTCTGCAGTGCCAACATATCGTGCAATTAAATATTTACGTTTCTGAGTTTGACGTGGCCAAATACCAACGCACTAAAATAAAAATCATTGAAAGGATTAAAATACAAAAAATAATGTATACAAATATTTAATTCTACAGTTAAATTTGATTTTGTATCCTATTATCGAATTATCGAAATCCAATATCCAATTTATAATTTACCACTTTAGCAGAAATAAAAAAAAACACAATGGAGGAAATGAAAAGTTCATTTACAGATTCAGATTCAACTTTTGTCCATACTTCTCCGCCAAATTCCTTAACTTCCACGGGAAATTTGCTGATATTATTCAAGAAATAAAATGGAGTAAATACCACCACTTTTGTTAGACCAGACTGACAAACTTTTATATCAATTGTAATCTGAAAGATTATTAATGTAGGCAGAAAATAAATATTGCTTCACACTTCCAAAAACAAATCAAACCTCAAATTCTTGTTCATCTGTCTTACAAATCACTCTTCCAGCATTACCAACTGCATCCAGAGGGAATTCATCCGACCAAAGACTATCCGCAATTTGAATCTTTGCCTAAAATTTAATTTCTATAATCTCTAGTAAAAATCAAGATTGAGAAAAAAAATTCACAGCATAAACTGGTTAACTAATTAACCACCAATGCTACTTTTTACTTGTTAGCATAATCAGTAACCGCCACAGTCTAAATATCATAAATAAATCTATATCTATGAATAAGAAATCTATATCAAACCTTTTTCTTATTTAAAAAATCGCTGGAATCGAAATTTATAATAGCCGGATCACTGAAAGGTTCGTGAACTATCGCATGATATACCTATAATAAATCGTCCATATACAAGCTGCAAAAGCATGGAATGGTCGGATCAAGTATCTGATCATGTTAGTGGAGAAAAAATATGCAATAAAAATAAACGATAAATTACAATAATCCACACAAATATCAGCCAAAAAAAATTTGGGCGCTATTGAAAAAAATGACCAATGAAATATCATTTTTTTTCAAATTGCAAGCGAAAAAAATTTTTTCGGAATTATGAAATATATTAAAAAGCAGAAACAATAAAAATTAATTATTTTGTATAATATAAGATTTTTTAAAGAAAGTAAGTCAAGAAACATGCAATCGAACATGACACAAAATCAGCTATTATCGTGCAATTTTCAAATCGATTAGAACACGTGCGTGAAACCAAAAAATATTAGACAAAATAGTGAAGGAAAGCAATTGTGTCAAAAATAAAAAATTTGAATGGGAAATATAATGGAATGAACCTTTCCGTTAAGAGCACTTTTTCGACACGACAAACATGAAGCTGATTTAGATAACATATTCGATTTATTTTCCTGAATATAATCCAAAAATTTCCTGGCGTCTAGACAAATAGAGGATGAGAGAATTTTTAAAAAAATAGCTGATATATTATATAGCAAAAGAAAATATATATATTATAATATATAGCAAAAGAAAATATGTTAATATTTATGGATGTTGTAGGATGAGCAGAGTTTTCAAGAAATTCATGACATAAGAGAAATTTAAAACTCTTAAGGGTATAATAGCATGTGATAATGCAAAACAATGGCAAAATTATAGAAATTCAAGAAAATCAAAAATCAACAGTAAAGGGAAAAAGGAGAATAGTTTTCCTTTATCAATCATATAGAAAGTTCAATAAAGATACGGACAAATTTACTAACCATATATTTCAGAGTTTTGCCAGTGTTATTAACGAACCAATATGGAGCATAAATCTGAGCATCCAATCTGCGATGCTCCATGTTCCAGTGAACACCAAGATTCTGTAATTTGTGATAAATGACACATGAAGTACCATAAAAAAGAAAGAAAGAAAAGACTAAAAGAAAAAAAAAGAATTACTAATCAAAGATTGTGGCAGGCTGAACGAAAAGATGATTATCTCAGATTATGTCTCCAAGATCACCAAAATTCGAATCCTACAGCCGGCATATGATGCTAACGACGCATCTACACTTGCTATATTCAAAAGAAAAATCTGCACTAACGGCCAGTAGAACCCGCCAAATTAAAAATGGTGGGTGCTTACTTTATTGAACGAAAGATTATCGAGTTAAATTAAAAAGATTTGAAGTAAAGTTTACAAGTTCTTCATCTATTGAGCAAAATGAAATAACTTCCAGATTCTCGTATTCACTTGGCAATATCATCTCAGCACGATAAATTTCATTACGATAAATGAGCTGAAATTTGTTTAAAGCCATTTTATCATAATATGAGATTCTTCGAATACAATAAAACGACTTAAAAAATATTACCTCCATGTTGATTTTTTGGCCAGGAATGATGTTCAAGGGTATTTGCTCTCCACCATTCAAGGTATATTCAAACTAAAAAAAAGAAAAAGATAATGGAAATGAGGACAAAACAAAACAATTAAAAAGCATGAAAAAACTAACAGGCAATAATAACCGAATTAAAAAAGGCAGCAGATTATGTAAAGTGACAGTTGGATAAATATGGACGATGAAAATTCGATCAATGAATTCACGACTTCTTTCAGCCTTAACCCGAAGTTCTTCAACAGATAATGCAGCAAAATTTCCTTGTTTAGGATTGTCTACCTGATCACAGCGGATTAAATATCGTGCCTTGTCCTCAAATTTATACCAATTCAGAGATTCATTGCTCATTTCAAAACTGAAATAAAGAGTTTATAATGTAAAACAATGAACGATAAGAGGATTTGCACTATTCAAATGACCGAACCTATCGTTGGCTGGTTTTAGATATAACTGCCCAGAGCCATTATATAATAAAGGCAAAGCTATATCGAGTGGTTCTAAAGTCGTGTCTGCTACACCGCAAAGATCTAGCATTGTGTCTCGCATTGAATATACCTCATATGCAATATCCATGTGATTTACAAACTAAAAAAAACTGAACCAATTCACCAAACAATCATCGAATGAACGAGCAAATAACAAAATAATGTAAAGAACATCGAAAATACAATTTACATCCCACAAAATGAAATTTAATGATCTTCCATTAGGATATTGTTTATTCAAATCGATTTAATGATACGGTTGATTCTAAATACCTGGACAGCAGAACGCAAAGTTATAAGTCGTCTAAAATTTTCCACTTTTATTTCAATAACCATCTTCCATTGTTGACCACCAGATCCTTTGCGTGGCAACGTAACAGTGCGAATTTCAGCACGTTTCACGTTGATCTTGAAATTTTTTACGTAAATAAAATCATCTAGGAATCCATTATTACGTAATAAATAATAAATAATTTAGAAATAATGACCAGTTAAATAATGATAGTATAAAAGAAAATTAACCTCACGCTCAGTTTCCAAATCATCAAAAATCAACCGTAATTCAGTCCTTTGAGTTTGATTAGATCCAACTTGCTGCTTATTTTCACTTAATATGTCGAGATCGACGAAAGCACATGCAGTCGCATCCACTACTTTATCATCCTCAGCAACCTTTAAAAGAATGCAAAACTTTTTTGAGATGCCAAGGGAATAATAAAAATGAAGATTTTAGGACTTACTCGAAGCGTATCTGAATTACCGACTTTCACTGATATTCCAGTGTTGTTAAGAATCAAAAATGGACAACTACCGGGCAATTGATGAGTTTTTGGCGGTGTTATTTGTTTTGCTGCTTTTTCGAAAGCCTGAAACATGGACTATATAAGTGAGAAAAGTTTGAAAAAAAAAGTCTTTCAACGAACAAATACGAACATCCGAAAGACGATTTAGAAGTTGCATGAATGATTTGGTGACGGTTATATTTAATATATTAGATGCTTTAAAATTAATTGTTCGTTTAGGTAGATGCATCCCTCCATTTAATGGAACAGTTTCGCTATCACTATGCGTGCGCATCTGAAAAAATAAAAACTGAATCATCCATTAAAATTTAAGAATTTTTGTTGTTCGAAAATTCGAGAAAAAAAAGGTTTGTTTCTTTTTCAGTACATTAAAATAAAAATAAAAATTAGATTGAATGAAAAGTTTATAAAAATTAAATATAATTGGTTATGAAATGATCTGTACTTCCATGTCAATTTGCCAGCTCTGCCAATTACCGTCCTCAATCTCAACTGGTTCTATTACCGGTTCCCAGATAGAAAATCCTTCATTATAGTATGAAACCTTAAAAAATCAATTGAATATATCGAAGAGTGAGGCATAAACCTTTTCCTAAAAATAAGAATAAACCTTTAAAAGTAAAATAAATTTAACCTGAAATGATAATCTAGCATCAACTTTCAATAAAGAACTCCAGTCAGAAGCAACAATAAGCATTGAACTTTCTACAAGAATCATAGGTATAGTTGTAATGCCTGTTCCTGCTTCTAATGTTATTATTAAAGATCCCATTTTTATATTCGCCTGAAAATGAAAGAAAATAGAAATTATAAATAAAAATAAATAAAATAAAATAAACTGCAAGTCTGCAAGTTCGCAAAAAAAATAAAATACAAAAATACAACTATAATCGACCTGCTCCTGGTGGTCAATACCAGCGGCAATATCAATACCTCGATCAGCTTCGACTTCAGCATCTTCATTTAATTTGAACCACCAATATCTCCTTCTGTCTATTTTTTTCTTTTCCCAATAATTAGGATACTTTTTCAGAATAGGTCGACGTTTTCCTTCCCTTCCATTCTACAACAGCAACTTCATTAATTTTTCATTGATTTGGAAAATTCTATACATGGTTAAAAAATATAAACAAGTTCAAACAATCTAATCCGAAATGAAAATGAAAGAATAAAATCAGAAAATAAAATAATAATAAATAGAAAATAAAATTGACACCGTCGACTGATTGGCAGCAGAAAATTCAGCACTGACTGCACTGAGCAATCGAATTATTGCAGGAGAAACTTTTAAATGCATTGGAGTGATGTCGACATTGAAATGTTGAGATTTTGTTTTGTCATCGATGGTTCCTTCAAAAGTGAGCTCAACACGATTTAAAACCTAAAAAATCTTTGCCAATTAAAATCGCATGTTTTGATAAATGAAGATTAAGTTACAATATTTTACAGTAAATTAAATAAAGTTAATAAATTCTAAATGACATAAAAAATATTATTCAATTAAAGAAAACGAAATGAATCACAGAAAAACTTAACTTATAAAATATAAAATATTGTTACCTGATATGGGTTTTGAGACCGCTTTGATTCTTGATAATATGAACTGATTATCTGCAAATTTTTTATTCCTCCTGCTATAATTTGGACTCCATTGACCTAATAAAGACATAAAATATAAAAATTTAATGCATAATCGTTTTTTAATCAGAATATATCATAAAGATAAATGAAATGTAAACATAATTATTCATGCTAACATGTTTCGCCTCAACATCTACATTGAAAGAAAGAACGAGAGCTTGTGTTGAATCAGGTTTATTCGAATCTTCTATAAGAATTATTTCTACTTCACGCATTTTACAGTTCATAGTAATCGCACCTAAAAAATACAAAACTATGAACAATTGAAGTTTAGTAGTTAGATAAAATTTTAGTAGTTAATTAGATAAAACAAAAAAACAACCAGAGGGAGTAGTTTTTCCTGTCTTTGGTTCTGCTTGATTGCTAACGCTTTTTGGCACTGCTTTTATTTCCGCATCTTCGTTTTCAAATCGCACAGTAAAAAAACTTGTGAGAACTCCAAGAAATTCCGGGCAAAGGCACAAGAAAAATGGCGATGATGAGAAATCAACTAAAAAACAGAAAACGCAAAAATTAATTATACGGAAAAAAATGTCCAAATATTTAAAAATAAATGAGCAAACAAAAGAATTTTAATGAAACTAACTAATTTTATCACTATTCGAAGTTTGTTGAAAATGAATAAGGATAAATTCTGGATGCAAATTATCGCTTTTAACAACCTGTTAATTAATGAACTTTTTAGGGCAACGTAAATAAAACACAAGAAATTCCATCAAAATAAATTTAAATAGCAAATAGAAACCTTTTTATCAAGTAATCTGGTAATTCTTGTTTCTTCTTTTCTTTCATCATTCATTGTAAAAGAACCAAGACTTATATTTACATCCATCTTACCATCATCCATTAATGAACCAGTTATTATTAGTTGCAACAAGCGCATTGAAGCAAAAGCTTGATCTGGAGTGCGAACAACTACGCCACTGCTTTCTAACTTGAAAAAACCTATTTATCATGGAAATTTTATTCATACTAGAATGAAAAGGCAAATAAAAAATATTTATTTTTCCCTAATAAAATAAAAAGAAGCCACAGCTCAATAAAAAAGGAAAAGGAAATTAAAACACACCAATCAGTTCATTCCAGATAGCTATGTGGACTATCGGTTATTCATAGGCTTTATAAATATGTAGTTGATTAATAAATATATATGTAATTATTAATAAATAAATAAGAAAGAGTAATTCATCCTATTAAAAAAACATTACCAAGTTCGATGAGCCTGAATAAAGTGAAGCAACAATTTCATCCATCGTAAAAGCAAATGCTACGCGTTTAGCGGGCGAATGAGTTTTGGCAGCCAATGATTCAAATTTTATCTCAGTTTTTTTGCCTTCATCAATTTTCTGTTCTTTATTTTCAGTTCTCTTGGAAATATCCGAGCATGGTTGTGATTTCACAATGTTCAATTCATTTGGCTCAGCACATTCAGCCAAATTACCACTTAATGTCTTCATGACAATGGCATAATCTTCTTGCGACATATTTAACTGCAAAATAAGATGATAAAAAAAAGTAAAAATAACTGTATAATTAATATTAAATGAAAAAATATGAAAAAATATTTCACCTCGATTATTGGCAAATTAGCGTCAACGCAAATCTCAGGAATGTCCTTATACCACTCGAAACATAGATTACGTTTCACTGATAAGGAAAATGATACAGGCTTCAATATTTCACATTTTGCAATAATCAATTTATCACTCTTTTTCGACAATAATCCTCTGTAACAATATTTTTATAAAACATTATAATCTTATCATTATAATCACATTAATCAAACAAATTTTGCAAAATTTATTGGTAGAAATTACTGAGGCATTAATCAGCTAAATCCAAATGAAAATGCAAAAGATTAAAAAAGATTATTGCAGAAGAAAATTTTTACATTGCAAAGTTAACGTCGGTTAAACTGATTAACATGGAATCAACAACTGCTTTTATTTGTTGTGGATCCGGGATGAATGAATTTTTCACCGTTAATTTACCTACAAAATAAAGAAAACCTTAGAAGTAACAGCTTAAATAACCTAAAATAATTTTCGAACCATAGCCGATTTTTTTTATCATAATTCATTATGCCGACTTATATATCTACCAAATAAAACGTCCGAAATATAAAAGATTACCGAAGTCAAAAATTAGGGCATCAAAAGATGTAGATTTCTGTGGCACGAGAATAGTTGGTGCAGCCAGCTCAATATCTAAATGAATTCGTGGAGGCGACTGTTCCATTATCTGGCGCACATTTTGAGCTGCTTCAGTAGCTTTTTCGACCGCTATAGCCTGCGCTTGCGCAGCAGCACGAGCTGCTTCGGCTTGAAATGGCTCTAACCATTTCTAAAGATGTTTTTACAAAAAAAAAACAATTAAAATCAATTATTTCGAGTTTCTAAAAAGTTCTTACAACTGATTTTTTGCTGAAGAATCCAAAATAATGATAAAAATTTACCAACAGCCTCGTTAACCATAAGTTCAGGAAAATAAATCGCATTTGAGCGAAGCGACAAACAACGATCATATCAAGATCAGAAGGACTCATTCGGTTTTTTTCTTTTTCCGATCGATTATACTGAGTAAAATCAAGGGTGAACATTTCTCGATCACCACACACAGATAATAAATTTTCATAAGCAGTAGTTCCAGTGCGATCTTGTATCGTAATCGCTTGTAAACCCGCCATTAATTTCACAGTTTTCTAAAGTCTCTCTATATATCTTAAGATAAAAATATGAGATAAAACTCATAAACTGAAAAGGAAATGAAAAAAAAACCACTAACCACTTTCATCATTAATGATGCTCGAACAATGCTAATGGCTAATACAGTATCGAGGCACTTATTAGAACCAATGAAAAGTTCTAATGAATTGAATGAGGCATTCAGACAAGTTTTTATGATATGATCATCTTGCGTCATCTCCAGTTGTCTTTCACGACGAGCCATACTTATTTTTGTAAGTTCTTCATCATTTTCAGCATTCATTCTAATATTTACGAACGATCGTTGGCTATAATTTACTGAAATTATTATAATTTTTATTCTTAGAGCATTCATCACTTCTGGCAAGACTCATTCATCTGACTTATGGGATCAGAAGTTTCGGATCATTTGGCGAAGTACAGATGAATCCACAGCATCACTACGAGATGATTTGTGAAAGAAAGTTTATATAGGGACCAGAAAGCCGGCATGGGAATAAGATTACTAATCCAATCTACATCTGAATTTAATAAATTTATAAATTATATATATTATATATTATTTTACCCAAAAGATATACCAGACGATAAATGTTAAAGTAACCTCAATTGACTGAGCCTTCTGGAGAGTTTTTCCGCTTGTATTTCAACCTCTCCTATGAAACTTGCCATTTCCTTTTGCTTTTCTTTTTGTATTTCGCCAATTTTTGTACGAAGAGTTTCGCCAAATTGCTTCAGCTCCATTAAAGATTCCTGAATGACCATAAAAAAATCTATTTATGATGCTTCGATATTCACATTCGTTTATATGAAACAAGAAATTCAATCAAATTAAAATTCAGTTTACCTGATGAAGAGTGATGGTAAGAGTTTTAAAAGAAACATCAATAGCTTGCTCCATTGATTTATATTCCGTAACAAAAAATGGACTTTCAGGATTAGCCTAAATCAAAGAATATTATTTTAGCTAAAATTTTCATAAATGAGGTGCAAAATTCCAAAATCGAAAATTGAGCATAGAACTAGAAAGCAAACCACATATCTTGTAAACATTCACGAATATCGAAGGTAAAGAAAAACTCATTTCTCTGTTAATTTAAAATAAAACTGGGTAATCTAGTAAATTTATCAGCAGAGTAGTTGAAAATGAATAAACTAACTGAAACTCATCAGAAAAATTACTTGCACAAATTTCAAATCGAGCAAATTTTCTTCACTACCATGCGTATTATCGATAAGGTACAATGTATCTCTTCCAGGAGTAAGACTTTTATATAGAGGTTGTTCAACAGTTAAACCACCAAGATAAGCAAATAAAACCATATCAAATGTTCGCATTTGAAATCTACAACCCATTCCTCGAATTTCTACTGATAAATAGATGGCATCTTTTGTACCAATTATAATAGCGACCTTAAATAAAAAAAATAATACTGCAGAAAATTCTACATTTATAATTGTTCGTGTCCTAACCATTACTGGTTAAACTCGCTCCACTGGCTTGTCACATTGAGCAATATTCCAGGGAGTCCTTTGGCGATAAAAGTACGGGTGACTCGCCAGCATCACCCGGATTTTTGGAAAGGTTTACTCCTGTGGGGAATCGAACCTCAGCATCGGCGCTTCCAATCAAATAACAACCCATTGAGCCATTCTATCCCCAAGCACTCAACTAATTACCCATTTACTAAAAAAAAGTTAGCTCCAAAATTATTCATCTCTTCACTTACTTGATTTAACGTCAAATCCATTTCTAACTGCACTTGCTGCTCATTTAATTCTTTAGCCCTTTGAGAACCATCAGATTTTCGACTGATCTCTTCTGAAGAATCCACCTTTTCACCAACACTTACTTCATCAACTTCCATTATAGCGCGTATTTTTGCACGGTCTTTAAGTTTTGAACGCTCGAACTTAAAAAGTTGTAATGAAACTTTAAAAAATTGGTATTTATGTAAAAAAATTTCTAAAACAAACTTGCGTAACAGTCAATTCCCCAAGAGATTTGATCTGTTCTTCTGGTGGTGGAGTAGGGATACTCAATATTAATTTCAAAAGTTGCAATAGACGCTCATCAGATAACTTAATGATAATATCTGGTAAAGCACCAAGTATGCGAATCCTGAAATACAATCTGCTCCTTTCCGAAACATTTTGAGATTTAATGAAATACGATAATTATATAAAATCACACAAAAAAAATCAGATTTAAGAAAAAAAGCGAGAAAAAAAATCATTTCTACAAAAAAAAACGCTACTTAGCTAATTTCATATCATCAATTGATGACTTGTGAATTGAGATGTCCATTCCAGTCGGACGTAAAATATGGAATTTTGATAATGGTTCATTTCTTGCAGACATTGCATTTTCATAATTTTCGGCAAGAATTATTTGAACATTGGATACTTTCAAAGTAAATTTGTCATAGGCGCGATTCACCAAAACTATTCGCCGATCAGCTTCATTTAGCTAAAATAATGTTCATTGTTTTAAAAAATGTTAATCAATTACATACATATTTGTATAAAAAATTTCTTTCCTTGTTAATTTATAATAGGTCATCAAATAAAGCCATTTTTCTAAAGCGAATTCTTATGAATTTCTTTGTAAAAGAAAATGAGGTCTTTTTTGAGATTTACGTGATATTATCGGCTATATAGATGCGAAACTTTAGTTTTTATGGTGATTTTACGACTCCATAAAGATTTTGACAGCCGGAAGAACGCATTTCTAGAACACTGCCGTAATCCGGATTGCAATGTTGTCTTTTACCTTGTCATTTGGTGTTAGAGTGACCCAAGGTATTTAAAATCGGGTACTTTCTCAATGAATTTATAAAAGTAAGCATTTTATCAGTTTATCAGTTTCTTGCATATAAGATGAAAAGCCTTTCGTCTTATTTACATCGACTCTCTCATTCTGAGTTCATTCTCGCTCCAATTGCTGACACATTATTTAACATTATTTGCATTTCATCATAACTATCAGCAAAAAGGACTACATCATTAGCGTATTCAAGATATGTGATACGATGCTCTGGACTGATTTGGACACCTCTTGAGTGCCGACAAGCGTTGTCCATTATTTAGTCTATCGCATAGTTGTAGGGGAAAGGACACAACCTTTACGGACTCATAGAAGATCATTAAAAGATCATTAAAAAGAAATAAATATCTAAAATGCGTTGTCAAAGAAACCAGCGATGTCAGCTATACACTTCTTTCTTTTATGAGTGCAGTGATATACGATCGCCTTCATATGATCGTATATCATCATCGTATCGTTACTCATTATTAAAAGATTACCATCACTACTGTTCAGCTGAAATTTTAAGACATTTGTTTCTAATTAGCAAACTAACTATTTGTTTAAAAAAGTAAATAGTTCTTATTTCGAAGCAGTCTATCAGCTTCCCATGCGATACACAGACCTCTGCCGACCTATGCTCATAAAATGCCTTTATGAATCCAATGATCTTCTCTGGAACACCGTCGCGTTCCATCATCTTCCAAAGTGCCGCTCTATCAATTGAATAAAAGGCAGTCGCAAAATCGGTGAAACGCGTGGTAATGTGTAGTAAATATCTGAAGCGATGTTCCAACACCCTTCTTAACGTGAATAACTGGTCAGCATAACCGCGCCCCGGGTCTGAATTCAGCTTGATTAGGGCGCATCCTACTGTTCCATACTTCCATAATTCTGCTGAGTAAAAGGGAAACAAAAATTTTCGCTGAGACGTCTAGTAGGCTGATTCCTCGGTAATTGATTTATGATATCTACTATGACATTAAATGCTGAACGAATTTCATCAAAAAAAAAAAAAAAAATACAATGATAAAATACAGTAACAAGTAATAAACGATGTATATCTCAGAGCAATTGATGTAAGGACGAAAAATAGTTTTCCAATTTCAAATGGAAATTTCAAAGAGATGATCCCAATTTACAGGAAAACCAAGGATAAGCAGACCTTCAGGCCGATGAAAACTTTTTAAGTCTCATAGTCTCATAGTAAATCCAAAATAATTACAAAGAAATTACGTTACGAAATTACTAAGAAAACAGATTATACCTACTAAATAAAATTTAATCAACTATATATTACAGGATGACCAAATAAATCATCTGAGTTCCATATAAACTGAAGAACATCGTTAATCTTTCTTTCTAGAAGGAAAAAAAACCATTTTAAGAGCGATGAAAATTGATTACTTTTCGATGAAGATAGTATGCAATAGTTATTAGCGGGAGAATGAACAACAAGAATTGACATTCATTGCAAAAAAATACTACTGATGTGGTGATAAAGGAAATAATTCACTATGAGCTGCTCGAACTTGATAAAGTATCATCTCTAATGCGAACAACTCAAAAAAAAATCTTCATCTCTCCTTCAATAACAAATTTTTTCAAAATTGCATGCAAATTGCCAATGAAAAGGTCCTGATAACGATAATGCAACAGCGCAAAGAATTTGGATGGGAATTCCTATTCTATCTCATTCACTCCCTCATTGCTCCTGACAATGTCCTCTTTTCTGATTTCAATTTGTTCAGATCTTTGCAATATTACTCAAAGCAAAAAAAAATTTTTCAATGATGTGAAAAAAACTCTTGAAGAATATTTTAAATCCAATGATTAAAACTTTTTTAAAAAAAGAATTAATGAATTAGTTAGCTAGATGGATAGAAGTTGTGGAACATGATATAAAATGTACTATTGACTAATACTAGTGTAATACCCACGAAATTTTAAATCATACTTTTGATAACAGGTATGATCTTACTTATTTGATGACTTATTTCGGTGTAATTCATTATGATTAAGCAAAAAATTTCCTGAATTTCATTAAATGTTTAAATAATTCGCATATTATAAATCATTGAATAAGCATCAAAAAACCCCTTCAGCCATTGCCGAATCTTCAATCGTCCTTACAGTTAATAAACCCAGATCAACGACTAATGTTGACAGATCTTCACCAAAGATACCCGTTTCAGATATAACAATTGTAGCTGGTGCAATATGTATATCAAGCACTAATTTGACTTTTGCTTCGACTGCATGTGCGAGACCAGTCACTGAATGTGTCTTTACCTCTTCATAGCGAGACATCGCTGCAGCTGTTAGCCTCAAAAAATATTTATAAGATATTTTGATAATTCGCAAAAGTGATAATTTTGATTCTCTACCTCCATTTGCAAATCAAATTCAAAAATTCATAAAAATAAGCATCAAAACTGGTTAGAGAAAAAAAAGCTCTCGTAAAAAAAATTTACTGGTTCAACCGGACACTTTCTGGTGGCTTTAGCGCATCAATCGCTGTATTAATAGCAGGAGCATGATATTTCAGTAAGGTTGGAGCTATAACCAGTTTTATGTACTGATCATAGTTAACTTCATCGCGATTATAGGGATTTGTGTCGATTAACATGTTAAGCCATTCTGACGAATCGTCCACCATTGAAAGCATTGGTTGACCACATCCATTAACAGCTATTGACTGGATCCCGCACCGAATACTAGGAAATTCGCCAGATATAAGCAAAAATGGTTAATATTCGACATTCCATTATTTATTTATTTAAATCTTTTAAAACTCGATTTTATATTAATATTTTATACTTAAAATCAACTTAATCGCTCTGGCTGAAGGTCTTTGTTGCACATTTGCAGTGATCGTCGAGAATTTCATGCTGAGAGCATTTGCAACAACAATCATTAATGACTTTAATTCAACACTGACAACATTTTCAATAAAATGCTTCGGATAATCGGTTGGTGGAGTATTTTCCTATAGAAAGCTCATAAATCTAGAAAACTATATGATATATTGAAAACAATGGCAATATAATTCAAATTTCACTGGGAATGGTTTACCTGATAATCAATAGCTGCGAATAACTTTGCTTTTTCTTCAGGAGTCATTGCTTTTTCAAACTGTGAAACAATATCAACACCAGACATAGTCTTGCTTTCAGCATTGTTTTGGTCAGTACTCCACCTGCGATTGATCAAAAAGTATCAAAAAGTTAGGTACAGAATTCATCTGGATAACCACCATTTTGCAAATCAAAGATATATTATTACACAAAAATGTATTATTAAATAGAGAAATAAATGATACGAAAAATAAAAAATACCAATCAACATCAAAAACGAATAGGGAAGCAAAGAGACATACCAGCTTTTCGCCCAACTGATCCATCCTTGTGGTTGATCTTCATTACGAGTTAGCCCTCGTCGGTCAATTTCCATATCTGCCTGTTGACGGGCAATATTTATATTGAAAACGTCCAGTTCATATTCAGCCTTCTAAAGCAATCTGTTTTTTAGATTTGTTAGATATGGAAAATTTACAACAAATTCACGCTTAAGATATGGAAAAATTTTTAAAGTTTAAGATATTGTTTTATTCATTTAAAAATTTATCGAAATCCATGAATCATGAATCTATAATAAATTATATAATAAAAAAAATATATAGGTAGAAATGCTCGAATGGTATGGCTGTTTCGATCTGCTTAATCACCAAAGGTTTAATTCCTTGATTCTAATAGGAGTAAACCTATTGAAAAAAATTAGTTTGTGCTGAAAATACCCATCTAAATCCATATGTGCTTCTGTAGATAAAAAAATTTAATACAAATTTTCAGTAAAAACTAGCGGAATTAATCAGAATCAGATCTGATTAGTACTAATCATCTATTTATTTATTTTTAACTCTTTTTTTCAAATTCCATGTTGCAACCTCGATTATTTTCTGTTCATTGCTACCCAAATTTTTTTCCGTTTGCTTTCTTAACCATGCTTCTCTATAATCACGAAGTAGTTTTCGATGATTTTTCATTCGTTCCCATGACCAATTTTTCTTCTTTCGTCGAATCATTTCTTCCAGAATTGATTTGTAAGCAAAGTACCACCTGAGTTAAAAATATATAGAATATGTAATTAAAAAATATAAGAAAGAGAGAAGTATGCCTTAATAAATAATACATGAAAATCATGAGATTTCGACAAAATCGAAAAATTCTTATTGAGGAAAAGATTTCACTCAAAATAGTGGATTAATAAAATATCTTTAAAAATTTGGATAACTATACCTGTGTTTTATGAAAATCTTAACGATAGAATGGGCCCCCCCCCCAAAAAAAAATGTACCTACCATTCTTTATAATATCCATGATATTCATTTAAATTTGGACGATATTTCAAATATCGGGCAGCTAAAGTGAATCGTTCTTGACCCTCAAGAAACAACAAAATGTCTTGATATTGTAATTTATCTATGCTCAGAGTCAACATTTCCATGCTCAACTTTAAATCAATTTTCGGTATTTTCCAGTTTGTTCCATCAGCTTCTGGCTTTTGATTCATCGAAAGTTTTGTCTCCATTGTTATCGGTTCAAGTACTACAAACAAAAATCTTTTATCTAACATTTTTCAAATTTTGCTGGTAAATCGCTTTTTTAAACAATGAAAAATTCATTCTGCTTCTATAAAAAACTAAAAAACTAAAACTAATATACTTAAGAAATGTGAACTAACTATATTTATATTTCACTGGCCGTTTATCAGCAGCAGCAATAGCCACATACATTTCTTGTTTAATTTCTTCTCGATCATTTAAATCCGAAAATAATTCTGATTCAGAATTCCAATAGATGGAGAGATTGTTAAGCGATATCAGTTTAAAGACGATTTGAACAACACCCTTATGTATAGTTTCCTTCCAATTTGCATCTGTAGTCTGCAAAAACTAATATATTTAAGAAATCAGAGAAGAAAAAAAATCGATATTTTGGGAAAAAAATTTTCAGACACAAACAAAAAAAAAATTTCATATTATGAACTGATTTAGCTTAAGGAAGTAAATTTAAACATTTAAAAAAAAAATATTTGGACTTAAATAGACTTAAATATTTAAGCACATCAGAATAAAAACCTTAAAATCGAGTCCTTCTAAAGTAATTCCAGCCGCAAAAGGTCGATTACGGTTTGTGTATTTATCTTCATAACGAATATGAATACTTCGAATTTTTATTTGCAGATTTTTAATTATTTGTGCGACCATTTTTTCTGTAAATGAATCAGCGGCCGCATCTGCAGGTTCTACAAATAAAGAAAACAATGATTATTAATTCATGAATAAATGAATGAAAAATAAAATATATATATTTCCACTCCAAGTGTATCAAAGCACGAGTTGGTGAAAGAATATTTGGAGTATCTATAGACATTGAAAAAAAAAAACAAACAGAAGAAGTATCAGAGTAAGGGAAGACCCCCATCACCTCTAAGGTACCTAGAATTGAGATCCTACCAGTGGCCAGTGGCTGGAAAAAGCTGAATTAAAAGGCAGCACATTAATTAGCAACACGAGAATAGGCATAAGCACCACATCCACTGAAGCAGGGACCTACGGCACTAGAGAGGGCTCAAAATGCAGACTGCTCCAGAAACAATCCAACACATAATGCACATTACAATATGGATGTAGGAACAAAATAAATTGGAAAATAACCAAGTAGTTCGTACCATCTATAGGAATATAGATATATGGCTTAGATCCTCACAAGAATCAAGATAATGAAGAAAAAGTAGACAAGAAAAAGAAACAGAAACCAGTAGTGGTGATACATACAATACCAAGTGAACAGGAAAGGAGTATGAGAAATTAAAAAAATACCAGAGACTGAAAGAAGAACTAGAGAAGACGTGGAAAATGAAGTACTTTCAGTGATGATTGGAACACTAGGAACCGCAGCTCCTAAATTAGAAAAATAGCTTTAACAGATTCAAACATGAACAAAGATTTCTGTCCAGAAGAACGCAATGTTAGGAATTCCACAGTTAAGATGGTGCGCAGAACTCTCAATCTCCCAGGTCCCTGGTAGAGGATGACCTTTATCACCCACAAAAAGATATAATCTTTACATATAATGGTCTTACTTCTTTGTTTTTTACGGTTTTCTTCTAAACGCAACAATGTTTTCTGTTTCGATTCTTGTTCATTTTTTTTTGCTTTCTCATCATTATAAACAACACCTTTATTCGGCACCACTATTAAATATAAACCTTAATAATAATTATTAAAATTTATTTAATCTATTTATTTATTCAATTAAGACCGAAAAAAATGGACTGCTGTAAAAGCTGTAAAATTGCAAACTGCAAACAGAATTGTGAAAAAATTAAAAACCTTCAACATTAGCAATAACAGGTTCTGTATAAAGGCTTTTCCATGGAATTTTAAGAATCAGAGTTGACAAATATCCAAATTTGAGCTTAAATGGTAAATCAAAATCATCAAGGGCTGTTTCCTTCACCTCCAAATTTGTTAATGTCACATCACCTGTAAATTTTTCAAAAAAAAAATTTATTTTTTCTAAAAAAAAGAAAACAGTTATATATGAAATGGTAATGATGTCACAGACAGACAATTACAGTCCCACTGTTCGAAATTATTCTACAAATAAATAATAAATCTTTTGCAAATATTTTTAATCAAAAAAATTTTTTATTCGATAAGAAAAAAAACTTAAGAAAAGAAAAGAAAAAATTTAAATCTGAAGAAAACTAACAATCAATGATGATATATTAGTTTTACTAATTTGTCAGTTTGTCACTAATTCGTCTTGGTCATCTTGATCAATCTATTTTTGTTACCCTCTCTTGAAAATCCATACTTATTTATCTACTCTTGTAAAATATACAGATCCATTTGTTCTTACCAGGTTGATCAAAAGGTATGCTTTGAAGGAAAGATCCCCACTTTGAGAAAATTTAATAGCAAATTTATCAGCGAAATGTGGCCAAACAGCGAATCTTAATTACCGAGAACCAAGCGATAATAAGGTATTAGCTACCGGTAAAGTAGGTGGGTGAGTAGAAAGGGAACCGACAGACTTAAACGATAAGCAGACGAAACCAAAAGGAGATAAGTGATGGCTGGACAAAAGCCAGAGGAGTAAGAAGAAGCTAATATGATGGCAGACCCTAACCGACAGAAAAAACTCAATAACGAAGATAAAAGAAAACTCGCGCTTAAAGCTGAATAAGACTGAAGGCGGGCCGACCTTAAAACTAGCCTTTGCACCGGCCATCTGGCGACCACTAAGGATTCACCGGCATTTCTACTCGGCAGATCATATTCAAAGGCGCCAGTCAAACACGAAATGATGAGTGGTATTGGAAGACGAAAAGCTTTGCATCCTTACAAAACAAAACGAAACCAACCTCCCCAAATTCCGATGTTCAACTGCGATGCATCTAAATTATCCACAAAATCACCCAAAAATCGATTTAATAAATCAGCAACAATACTTTCGAAAACCATTTTTTTCAAAAATATAGCAGCCACATCGGCCTATAAAATAAAAAATTTCTATTTTTTGTTGATAAAAAACATTTCCCCACCGTTTCGAAAATAAAAAAATAATCATAAAAATAATTTTTCATTATATAATAAAAAAATAATAAATTGCCACAAATTACAACCACAAAATAAAAATATTTGCGAGAAGCGTCTCAAATATTCATAAATTTCTTTAATTTTTTTTCAATTTTTGAAAATTTTATTTATTATTAAATTTTTAAATTTTATTATTAGATTTTATTATTAAATTTATTATTAAATTTTTTAGTACTTATTATTTATTAAAGAAATAATTAAAAATGAAACTGAACAAGATTTAAAACAAACAAATTAAATGTTTTTATAAAGTTTTTATAAAATTTTTAGAATTTTTATAAAATTTTCTAAAAGAACTGAAAATAATTTTGCAAGAAAACAAAATTTTCCTCTTTTACAAAAAAATTTTAGAAATTAGAAATTTAAAAATAATAATAAAAATAAAAATAAAAATTTATAATTTAAAAACCCGAATTAATAATTTTTCTGTTTTTACAAAGGAATTGTTGAATTTAAAAAAATTGGTATAAAATTTATTCAAATTCATTCACCAATTTTTAAATGAATCTTTTTTAAATGGAAAATTTTGTTACTTCTCGGTTATCAAATTAGCTGGAAAACAGCTTTCGTCTTTCTCCTAGCGCTGCACTATTTGCTCATCAATCAAGTGGCTGTGGACCAAATTAGCGAAAAGTATCGCAAAAATTTTCTTTTAATAAAAAAACACTCAAATAAGTTTATGTCGGGCCGATTCGCTGGTTTTGCCTTAAGAAAAGTGTACAAGAGAGGTTTACCGAATCCGAACCGAATTAATTACACTTATTTTCCAGCACGATCGATTTGAAATGATTCATTTCGGATTGACGATGAAAAAAAGGAAAAACGATCGGTTGGAGGATACATGTAGATTCGACACTGTGGGTGTGGTTTTCGAGAGAACCCGCCCAACCGTTAGGATTCTTTATCATTTAATTAATATGCGTCGAAGAAAAGCGAAGAAACGAAGAATACAAATTTTATCGATTCACCAAAAAAATACAAAGGATATTCTCGAATAGTTTCCTAAAAAACATCGCAGCCTGTTGTTTTTATTTTTCATGAATAACAAAAACAAAAGAACAGCGAAAAGTGAACGAATGCGTGAGAGTTCCTCCAAAATTTTTTTGTCTAATCTTCTTTCCTCCTTCATTTTCTCTTTTCTTTTGCACAATTTCTGCTAACAATTTCTTATCAACAAAAGTTGATAAACCCATTCATCCATTTTCATTGATAACATGGGGAGGACAGCCGCGAAATAGTAGCGATAATACACCCATTGCATTGGCCTCTAAGAACGCGTGTTGCTAGCATCGTGACTGTGTTAATTTGCGCTTACTTTTGCACCAATTGGTAAATTTCGCATAGTTCTCGCGCAAGCGATTATTGATTATGATAAAAACTGATAAAATTATTTGCCACAAAATTATTAATCCTGTTTTTTAGATTTTAATGGTTAAATATTAAACGAAAAATAGAGTGAATATTCAAAAGAGCAAAGAGATGTATATTGCCGACAATATTAATAATATTATTTCCTTCATTTTAAATTGGAACTGATAAAAAGTGATAAAAAATGAACACAATTTCATAAATAAAAAAAAAAAGGTTGTATGATATGCAATTTATTTTCTCTGTTATTTCTGGAAAATAAAATTTAAAAATTTTGATGGAAAATTCGTAAATTTTCTAAATCACAAGAAAAAATAAAAAAAAGGTCGGAGGTGAAATTATTTGGAATGAACGCAGAATAGAATTTATTTAGAATTTAACAGACAAAATAGAATTTTCCTAGAAAAAACCAAATTTTAATTATTAAAATTTCAAGAAATAATGAATGATTTATTCTTTTAAGCAAAATATATTTTTAAAAATACCCATATTTTGAAACGTATATTGGCATTCGAAACATTTTACCATCGAAACAAAGCATTTAAGATAATTAATACAAAAATAGATTAAGTGAAAAATTCTAGAAATGAAAGTAAAAGGCGAAATTAATATAATAATTTATTGTGTAAAAATTAATGTAATAATTTAATAAATATTAAAAATATAATTTTGCGACGAAATTGCTTATAGGTAAATAGAAGAAAAAAATAAGATATAAACCTAAGAAAATTTAGGACTGTTTAGGACTTGTGCGATCAAAAATTTGGATTTCTTTCAAAAAGTCGCCATCTTTTTAAAATTTTGATTTGAAACTTCCTTTTATCTAAACGGAATTAAATTATAAGAAGACGAAAATCGGCACCTTTTCGTTTGGTGGCCAGCATTCTCACTTATTCATTACCGAATAAAAAGAAATAAGAAAAGAGATATAGGTGAAGATTTAGCCTAATTAATTATTAATGAGGAAATAAACAAAACAATGCAGAGGAGTAGAGCAGAAAAACTGGAAGGGAAAAAAGCATTTTTGGCTGCCGCTAAGTAATTAAGCGAAGAATGTCGAGATAAAATAAAATACAATATTTAAAAAAAAAAAGAAAATTATTCTACAATAAAACGATATGTGACTTTGACCGTAAAATCTTCTCTTTGTACCGAGAAAATAGATAGTTAAATTGTTGACTTTGCTGATAAACAGCTGAATTCATATCACACTGACCTTTCGATAAAGGTAATTTGAACTTCTGTAATTTAGAAACGATGTTAGCTGCCTTATCAACTAAGCGAGAATCTGACTTTGAATGGCGCAATTCATTTGACGATCCCTTGAACAAAAATAAATTTGATGAATGAGTTTAAGAAATAAATTTCGATTTAAATTTTATAGTTTTGAATAATACACAAAATATAATTAAATTAAATTCCAATTCAACTTTTTTTCATTTTGTCATGTTAGTAAATTCAAAATTCAAAAGGCAAAAATATAAAAAGAAATATTTTTCTAAAGAATTTCCAAAAGATAGATAAAGATAGAAATTGCTTTTAAAATTATAAAAATCTTAAAATGGATAAAACATGATCAAAATTTGTTAACCTCCTTGTCTTCATTGAGGTTACTATTAAAAGCGTGAAGTTTTTTGCTAATCTGATTCACATTTTTTTCAAATTTCACTTCTTTCATGAATGATTTCTCCAAATAAGGCAATCGCAATGGCGAATTACGACGTAATCGAAATACGGAATTTAATATATTTGATAAACCCTGTCTGAAAAGCAAATGAATGAATTTCCAAAGCAAATTTTGTTTTATATGTTTGTAAAAATTAAAAAGAAAATATTTAAATAAAACAAATAAAACAAAATGACTTTCACCAATTTTAACTAAACAGAGAATAATTTTTTTTTCTACAAAGATTTTTTACTTGTCTTTAAAAAAATCTATGCAATTATTCATGGTTTTTCAAATAAATAAATGGAAAAGAACAATTATCAATGAAATTCTAACTTTGTTCTATTTGTCTGACGACTTAATTGTTCTACCACTGATAATTCAACTTCTTTACCAGCCATAGCCATTGTCACTTTCATTTGTTCTCCTATTGCTTGGATATATTCGTCACATTCTTCGCTAGTTTTGAGCGGTATCGCTGCATTATTGAACAGTCGAGTTTTCGCCGCGCGCCATGTAAATTGTTGATTGGATCTTGCCTCAATCCTTCAGTTCTTTCAATAAAAAATCAGAAATAAAAATTCGAAAACAAATTCAATTAAACCTTTAGATTAAAACATTTTTAATTTATTTAATTTTTAGTTTTAATTTTAATGAATTTAAAATTTTAGAAATTTAGAAAATTTAATGGTCAATTCATTAAACAAAATAAAAAAAATTCGTAAAATTTTTTTAGTAAAAAAGAAAAACCTCAAATGAATCTTTGAAGTTTTATCGAATGAACCCAATTCTAAACGAATAATATCATTGAAATCAAGAATCTTCACTTCAAGTATTTTTTCAGAGTCATCATCATAAAGTGTAATAATTATACATAATCTGAAGATAATATAACAATTGGTTCTTTCTTTTTTTGAACTAAAAATTGATATTTTCTAATCTGCAAATGGTCCGCAAAGTTTATAGTTTAAAAGTTTACAAAAATTGATCTAAGAAAACTACTTTGTCAATAATACAACCGTATCGATTTGGTCCGACTGATTAGAACTGTCGATGAGTGCCCAACTTCCGACAAGAATCTCTTTCTCGGGCAAAACAAAATGAATCGTTTCATGAACCAGTCGTTCGATACTTTCACTTTCATCCTCTAGCTCATTTTCACTCTTTTCTGAAGGAGGCTCAGAAATTATATTTCCTGAAAAAATAAAATCAGTTAAAATCAAAACAAAAATGAATTGCATCAACTGTGTCAACCAAAATATTTTTTTTTTAAAGAACCCTCATCATTGCTGCTCAGACTCACTCCGCTGACTTGTTGGGTTAGATAAATATAATAGAAGGTCCCTTGGGATATAGCATAAAAAAAATTATTAAGCACTTAACGTTTCAATCTCGTATTTCCTAAAATTTCTTCCTTTCTCTTTTTAGAGAAGTAATTAGATTAATATACATATATATATATATATATATATATACCCAGCCAATTATATATATATATATATTATAGATGATGCCAGCTGTTTGTTTATGCCTTTCTATGCATACTGTTCTTGCCTCGCATACTGCCATTATGTATTGGGCATTCTCTGAGATCTTTCTGCATATTATATATTATTATAGAATATAGATGCTTGGATTCTACTCCCTATAAGAGTAGGAGTAAGTTGCTTTTAAAAAATCCGGATATTCTGGCGATTCACTTGCTTCTATCGTCACATAACTGGTGAAATTTGTACGCTATGAAAAGCCAGTGGAGCGAGTCTAACTTGAAATAGTGAATATTCTCAGAAAAAAATTGTAAAACAGAGTAAACCTAGCAAAGCATCAATAGCAATTTGGCGCTGAGCATCTCGAGTATGAGATAAATAATAACGAGATGCGGAATTATAACCATCTTTAACGATACCCACAAACTTTCGCTGACCACAACGAGTTACATCACCTTTAAGTGCATTCGTACCAGCATACTAAATTTAAATACAAAGAATTTTTTTTAATAATTTTTTCTTTTACACATAAAAAGATTTGTCTTTTGTCTTTGTCTTTTAATAATTTGTTTGCCATAATTTAGCCAAATTTTTCCATTATCAAAGAAGAAAAAACTAGAAAAATACGCTATATAAGATATCAATTTAATTTTAAAGACATTATGATCGGACCACCTGTCTAGAGATAGCATCACCATTATCAGCCCACATAGACTGAAGACACTGAACTAAAATATCTGGAGAATCACTTAATGGTCCGACCAAACCAAGCTTCTGAATTTGTTTTAAACATAATGCTTGTGAAATTGCACACTGAAATTGTATACTGTTATGATCATTATAGTGAAACGGTGAAAGTAAGTGTGGAAAAGTTAGTCCACTCCATTCTACTTGGTCAATGTCTCAGTACAATGTGAAATCCTGTTGTATCCTCTTAACATAAAATCTTACCCATCATCTTCTATTTCTTTCTCCTCTCTTGAGGCTTAACTCAATATTCTTTCATTGTTCCAAAACTGTATTATATTACTTTCAACATTCTTCTGAATCCCTTTACCAGTTCCTCGAACTCCATTTTACATTCTCAAGGCCTCTTGACTTGTTATGCCCTTTACTCCCGAATTTTGCTATAATTCCTCAACATTTTACCTGAGCTATATTTTATTATTAACCCTTTACGTATCTCTCTCAAACCACATAATTATTTGAATCCTCTTCAACCAGCATCCTTAATATTGAACTATTAAGTTAAAAATTCAGCTAGATAATGGGACTTTTTTCACTAATTTTGGATTAATAATGCACCAAAACACCTTGCATTCACAAAAAAAATTTTACAAATAATCACCTGAACAACATTTGTCCTATCCAAGCAATCAACGCAATTGGTTCGTACGACTCCTTTTTGCTTGTACACCATTTCACCATGTTTATCCATCCAACAAAAACCCAATGAATTTAGCTTATCGTAAATAGCCAATATAAGATCATTCACCTTCAATTTCCAAATAATGAAGTAAGAAATATTTCTTAAAATGTAGATATAAGAATACCTTATTCTTTTTCATTTTCACAGACTTTTCGAAGATATCCAAAAAGTAGTGAGCGAAAAAAAAAATAGTTTCAATTTTCATTAAACTGACCAAAAAATGGCGATATAAAATTTAATGACCAAAATAAAATTTAGTGCATTTTATTGTTCTATTGAAATATTATTGCATTAAGACCTTATAAAAACGAAGCGCTCGACAATGAAAGTGAAAATCGAATGAATAATATGAGATCTCAGGAACATCCGCAGCAAGAATATGATCTACATAGGATGTTGCCAAGTTCAGTTCTCTAAAATTAAGAATCTTAGTAGAACAAAAGAAAAAGATGTAAAAATTTACGAAATCTAAATCTACGAAAATTATATCAAATTATAATTATATCGAATTATATCAAATGGAGTTTATGCTTTATTTCAGCAGGAATTTAAATGAAAAATATACGATAGATAATAGAAAGATTTAGAAGAGTGGAAAAATGAAGTGAAATGAAAAAAAATTCTAATGAACCTTCCAGTTTGATCCACTAAATTCACAACAATTATTGGACTACCATATTTATCGATGAGGTTCTTCATATGCTTTTTAAAAACATCCAATGAATCAGATAAACATTTATCAATAATTAGTGGAGGTCGATATCGATATCCCCGCTGGCTCCAGTAGACAGGAACCGAGCCACGGATCTTCAATTTTATAATTATCTCATAAAAGAAAACATTTAGTTAATAATAATAATTGCTTTAGACGATACCCATTATACATACCATTTTAGCAAGTAATGAAATATGTGTCAACCCCTGTAGTGGAACGAAAAATCCGTTAATCCACTGTAATGGTATAATGCAGGTATAACGTATTTGAGCAAATGGATGCAATCATGTGAAATTTTATCCACTCGGCATACCCGTAAAATATATCTCAGATATGAGTGGTCAAAGGCAGCTTCCTTCCAGATACTTCTTATATGATATCTTCCACTTTCGATGGCCATGCCTCGCCATATAGCAAAATCGAGTTAATTGCAGCTATATGGACGCTTTCGTTATGGTGATTTCATGACAGCTCCAAAGGATTCGCCGGAAGAACGCATTATTTCTAGCTATCAATGTTGTATTTTGTCTTTTGCCTGGCTATTTTGGATTAGAGTGGATCCAAGATATTTAAAAAATTGTATACTAAATTTATTGACCAATCGATTGTGAGCGATCGGGCCTACTAACTGTTCTGCGTTAAGATAAACAAAAATAATAAATATTAATATTATCTATATATTTTCACGAAATTTTTACGAAGTTTCGACATTTCACATAATTTTTTATTAAATTCATTTTTCCTTTAATTTATTTTTCTATTTACCTTTTTCTTCTCAGATTTTACCTCTTTGACAGGAGTAAGCCTGCCATGACATCCGAATGATTGCTGGGGATCCACTTGTAACTTTACCCCCAAGTGACTCTACGGTGAAAGAATATTACCAAATTAATATCTGTCTTTCTACAAAGAAATAATACCATTCATATCTTTCACAAGCTTTTAAACTTTTTGAGAACAAAATTTTTTACTGCTGAATCCATTGAATAAGAAATTTTCTGTGGCATTTATATATATGTATATATATTTGGTTTAAAAAAGAAAAACCATTTGAAGATATTAAAATTAATAATGATATAATTAATAATAACAATGACATGATGAATTATCAAGAAATAAATTTATATGAAAGGTTTATAAAAAGCTCACTTGAACAAAAGAAAGATGATGACCGAAAAGACTAAGAACCATCTCAGTCTCAACGAAATTAGCGACATTTGCCTCATCATCAATACCTCTTCGAAGATAGCGAACACCAGCTCGTTTAACAGATCTTCGCGATATTAACGTTAAAATTAACTGAGAATCTTCATTTAATGAGATATATCTGGAAAGAACTTCGAAACTTTTCTTAAAAAACCATTTATAACTGAACCAATTTCACAGCTACAAATTTCTTTGCCAATAATATAAGGATAATCGAAGATAAATTGACAAACCGTTCAACAATAAAACCCTGGCAGATAGATAAAATCCACGAGTGCGATCCATCTATTGGGTTGCCCGCATTATCAAAAAGATCACGCAATAAATTACGATTCCAAAAAAATCGGTCATCTACCCACTGTACACCTGATCCATATCTAAATCACTATTAATAAACTTATAGAAAACAACATTTTTTTTCTGCCGAATCCGTTGGATAAGAAATTTTCTGTGGCATTTATGTACATATATATACATAATAATCAATATATATTATATATTAATATATATTAATGGGATAAAATCGCACACTGGAATACTTGTAAAAAATATATTTCATATACTTATAAAAAAATATTTCATTAAAAAAAAATGTTTATAAAATGTTTATGATTTATTAAAAAAACGTTTTTTTATTAAATATTTTTACCAGTATTCGAATAATTAAAATTAATCCACAAAAAATAAACAACCTTTGTGCGCTAAGTGTGAGATTCTTCTCAAAGCAAACATAGAAATCACCGTTATCATTGAAAAGATGCAAAATTTCTTCGACCAAATTGACCGGTTGTATTTTATCGCTCAAAAATTTCATCAACTTTCTCTGGGCATAATTCCTTAATTTTACATTGTCCAAACGCATCTATAATTCAATTTTCTTATATCAAATAAAAATCGAAAAAGAAAAGAATATTTAAGAACATTTTTCATTTTAAAAACCGCCAATTATAACATAAAAATTAACTTTACTAAATTAGCAGAAGTCCGAAATTTTAACGATGATTGAAAAGAAACGATGCTACTTCTACAGTACAACGATACCTTCGCTGGCCCAAGTACTAATAAATGATAATCAAAAATAAAAATTGGCTAACTTTAGCATCAGCAATGTTATTGCTTTCGATCTCAATCGGAATAGGTGTTACACAATCAATATGATATATTTTAGCCTTTAAAAATTTAAAATGAATTTGAAATAAAATATGAAAATTTTAGAGAAAGAAATTTAATATATAGCGATAAAAACTGGGTTAAAAAACTATAAATCTATAATAAAATAATAGAATAATTAATAAATAGATTTTTATAAAAAGCCTCGAATTTCAAAACTCGAGAAAAATGCGTAAAAAACTAAAAAGAAAACTAACTTGCGTACAAGGAAAACATGCAACAGGTGAGCGTTTTGTAATCACTAATAAAAAAGCTAAACTTTCAAATTTTAATACTCCAATAATTCCATACACATCGCCAATTTCATGCATTTCGTCTGCTGATTCAATTACTGCAAATTTTTATTCGACGTTCAATAACTTCGTATCTAGTATTTTTATTCAAAAAGTATTAATATATATTAATTATTGATTACTGATAAAAATGATATTAATAAAATAAAGAAGGGTGGCTGCTGGGGACCCACCTGTATTTTTATTCCTCAAGTGACTCTATCCACACCCTCTCTAAGCGCGTAGATGTGGCTTGTTTATCGGGGGTATCGGAGGTCCATTTTCCTCATATCGGCTCTCGAGAATTATTGAACCTGGTTCCGAGCAAAGATATTGGCTATATCACTGTGGTGTCTCGGATTATTTTGGACGAAATGGCACAGCGATTGTCATGTCTGAAAAGACTCGATCCGCTGTGATTGAATGGAAAGCAGTAAATGACCGCATGGCCTACGCGCGCTTCGAAAGAAAATTCTGCAATATTTCAGTCATCAGTGTATGTGCTCCAATTCTGTGCGCAGATGACTGCGATAAGAATAAATTCTATGCGGAGCTTCAACCATTAACAACATCTCTATCGAGAGGTGACATGGTCATAATCGAAGGAGACTGGAATGATACCGTTAAAATGAATTCGATAATTGGCAAATATGGCATCGAAGTCCAGTGCGTCAATGGAGAATGCCTTCTTGCCGAAGTGCATGAACTCTTTGTTATTAATACATAGCATTGGAGAAAACATTTAGTCACGTGGAACTTTCCGCACAACCAATATTACTATCAGATTGACTATATATTAATCAGTCACCGCTGGAAGAGTTCTGTATTCTGTACTTGATAAACGTTCTTATCAGGGCGCTGAAAATGGTAACCGCCATGAATGAGACCATGTTATGGTTCGAGCCAAAATTCGTATAAAACTGACAAGGAAACAAGTATCCCAAGATTTTTCAATTATTTCAAATTAAAAGATCCAGAGACATATTGTTTAAAACACATCAATGAAATGAACATTAATGATACCTCTGTCTGAAAAAGCTGCCAAAGCCTGAATATTAGAAGATCTTGATTATCGCATGCTTCGAAGAATTACAACGATAGCAGCAAGAAGGGACAGAAATCGCTATTGGAGCGATATGGCCTTGAGAATGGAAATGGCGACTCGGATAGGTGATAATAGGAAACTGTTTCGCCTTTTTCACTAATTCGAGATCAACTATAATTCGAGAAAGGGACAATAGGGGATATCAATGGAGTACCTATTAAAGCTGTTAAGGATCGCCTCAGTAGATGGAAAGAATTTTTTGGGGCCAAACTTAATCACGATGCGTCATCTGCTATCTTTATCTGGATATAATTACCTGATTCGCTCGTCCAGCCTTACGTTTGCAACTATGAACCGCTGACAGAAGAAGAAATAATCTCTCCACATCCATCCATAAACTTAAGACCAATATCCATGTAATCAATAATACTCCCGGAGAAGATGGCCTTCGAGCCGAACTCTCCAAATTTTATCTATTATCTTCATAACTCACCTTCAACAAATGTATTCTCTGGCATGGCAAAAAAGAAATAATACCAGAAGAATAAAGGAAAGGAATTCTGCTTCCAATTTCTAAGAAAGGTGACAGGACATACTGTGACAATTACCGACAGCCTACTGGACAACTTCGGAAAAATTTTCGCTTTCCTTCGGCTAAATAAACTCATGAGATAGCAGAATGCGTCCTAACCAAGCTGGATTCAGACCGGGACCAGATATTTACAATAAGTGCTGGAACATTGCTTTAAATACCAGCAACTCAGCGTCATTTGCTTTATTGATTTTGCAGCTTCCTTCGATTCGATTGATAAAGCAGTGCTCTGGAAAGTGAAGGAATGTGATGGTGTCCCAAAGAAGATCATTCGGCTCATAAAGGCATTTTATTAGCATACTTTGGCACAGGTCTGCGTAAATGGGGAATTGACAGACTCCTTCGAAACAATAATTGGTGTCCGTCACGGCTGCGTCCTTTTCCCTACAATATTCAACTATGCGATAGATTCGATAACGGGCATCGCTTATTGGCACTCAAGGGATGTGCAAATCAGTTCAGAGCATAGGCCTTGAAAGCGCTGATGATGTAATCCTTTTTGTTGAAATGCAAAAAAATGTTAAAACAATGCGTCAAAAATGAGAATTAGACTGAAAATCAATGTAAATGAAACGGAAATGTTTTCCTCTTATAAACAAGATGCTGAAAAAATACTTATTGTAATCAGTTGATTACTGGTTGAGGAAATGCCCAACTTTAAATATCTTCACTCTAATCCCAACTGGGCAGGCAAAAGATGAAATTGTAAGCCGGATAACGACAGCTGGAAATGTGTTTTTCCGGTTCATGAAACCTTTATGGAATTGTTATAAAATCACCATAAAGACGAAAACCCGTATCCATATAGTCACAGTCCACTTGATCTTGCTATACAGATGCTAAACATAGCCAATGAGAGTGGAAAATACTAATAAGCTATTAGCTTTTGACCACTCATGTCTAAGGATCCGTCGAGTGATAAAATAGCATATGATTGTAACCATCTTCGCTCAACTACCTTCTGTATTAATAACGTTATCACAGAGCGTCGCTTTCGCTAGTTAGGGCACGTTCACCACAGGAATTGACGCATATTTCACTACTTGACGAACTCTGTTTGGCGTTAGAAGCGAGGAGGAAGACCAATCAAGACCTGGACTGCGACTGGTACAGTCAGGAAAGATTTTGAACATATAAGGAAACCAATGATATATGGACTTAGACTGGAAAAAGGAACGGCTTCTATTATTACTAGTGATGGCGTTTAAGACCTCACTTCTATTGGTTAGACTCACTCCTCTGGCTTATTAAATATAGACAAATATGCCTGGGAGTTCCTTAATGACAGAAGTACGAGTGAGTTGCCAGCATCATCCTGATTTTTAGACAGCTTTTAGATTTTTAGACTCCTGTAGGGACGAGAACTTCAGCACCGGCGCTGCGAATTGAGCAACAACCCACTGAGCCATTCTATGCCCAATCGTAAATCAACAAGTATAGGAACTGCTATCCAGATTTTTTAAAAAAATTAAAAATTTTAAAATATTTGAAAACTTGTTGAAATTGAAAAATATCCGTCTAGAGAATATATATATATATATATTATATATGTAATAGTATATATATAATAGTATACATATATAGCAAATATGTAAAAATTATTCTCCTTCATCTTCTAGTAGTTTGTACCAATGCTGGTTTGGCTCGCTTCACTGGCGACTGAAACATTTCCATTTCCACTAAAAATGTTTCCAAGCTCCCCGATCCGATTTAATCCCAAAAGCGATTGAAACCACTCCTTTTTCACCGTCTAAGCACACATACTTTGGCAAGAGTATGTGTTCTCCCCTGAACCGTCCAGTCCAGGTTTTGACTGGTTCCCCTTGCTTTTGACTCGCAAGACTGACCTAATGACGAGAGGAGCGTCAAGATAGAAGGCAAAGAAACCAGCACAATATTTATTTATTTATTTAAATCTGGCAGTTTCAAAAGTAAAATACAATGAAAAGAAAAACATAAGATGATAAAACGAGATATCACCTCGCAAATCGTTTGAAATAGTCAATTTAGCGGATGCTTTACAACATTTCAGTACAAATTCGTCCTTAACCAGATAAAAAGCATCTAGTGTTGAAAAAATTTTCATTCTGAAAATAATTTCTTCATCGAGAAATACCAAACAGGAGTAGCCTTTGGTTCCCTGGTAGCTCTTAAGGGGGAGGATTCTAGGGAAAATTACGGTGGAGATGGAAGGCGACACAGAAGAAATGACGAAAGATAAGCAGAAAATATCTCAAATTAGTGCTTACCTTGAGAATTGTGATTATAAATAGAGCTGAAAGAGGAAGGTGGTAGGTGATTTACACCTTAGCCGCAACTGAAGTCGAGCAACCTGGATTCAATTACGTTGCTCGTGGAGAATAAAAAGGAAATCATCCGCGTGCTCGACTCATTTGCGCCCTCAACTGACGCTCTCGCATAAGGACAGCACCCTGCACCCTGTTCGTCGGAAATCAGCCAAACCAGAAGTTTACGGAGATAAGTGTAAGCGATAACGGGTTGGTAATTTAGCGCTAACCCAACATCAATCCGAATATCAATGAAGCAAGAAAAAACATCCGAATTAACGAAATAAAGAAAAAACTAAACGAAAAAATGAGAAAACCCTTCCTTCTTGAATTTTTCTACCGGAAAATTTAAAATTTTTTCGATTTATAAGAAAGAAAAATTAAAGAATCCAAAATGAAAATCTTTTCTATAAAAATTTCGAATTGAAAGAAATTGCGAAAATAAAAAAACAAAAAATAATCGTTTAACTTTGTTTAAAACTTTATTAATCTGCAAAAAATTTTTAACAAAACTTATCTGAAAACATTTCAACAAACTGATTGAAGCAATTACAATGAGACAATTCGACCCAATCATTCATTAATCTTTTATAGCACTTTTTTTAAACAATATTTTACAAACGAAATCGAGTTTTTTTAAATAGCAAAAAGCACGGAAATAGTAACAAAACATTTTTTCGTTGCATTCTAGAAGCTCTCAGCTTCTCTTACGATAAAAAATCCACTAGAATTAAAATCTTATAATAATACCATTATTATTTTAAAATATGATAATATTCTAAGCAAATTATTGCCAATTAATATGCATTAATTGTTCTGTCTTGAAATATTAAACTATTTTAAAGAACTCAAAAATTCCAGTAAATGTAAAAAAGAATATGTATTAATATCGATAACATAATGGCAATAATGGTAAAAATTATAATACTAATAATAATAACAATAATAATAATCAGCAAAGATAAGAAAAGCACTTTAATAGCAAAAATAAGAAAGACAATTAGAACTAACTGAGCCAAATGTTCATTTAATCGAGATTACTGGTTCTTCCTTCAATTTAGTGATGAACGTTAACCCTTTTTTATTATTCTTTTGAAGATTTAAATTTAAACTTAACTGAGCAACTTTCTTCTTCTTCTTCCTTATCTTTAATTTTTCAATGATTTTATTTGAGCCAAAAACAATTCATGGTAATCTAAGCACAATAAATTATGCCTTCACCGACATCTAACTAATAAACACTAAACTGATATAAATTGATACTGATAAACATAAAGACTGACTATTGGGCATGGAAACTAATATTAAGCGACAATATTCATTCAACAAATGAAAACAAATTATAAATAATGAATAATAAAAAACTACACGACCGAACTCTTAGGAAAAAAATAAATGCCGAAAATAAGAAAGTATTAACAAAAAAGCTAATAAAAATTTTAAAATTCCTAATGACAAAAATATTTTCAATTTCATTAATGAAAGTTAAAAATTGAAATTTTTTCGCTTAATTAGCTGTAGTTCTATAATGTAACACAAAAAAAATGGTTTTAAAAGGTATTAAAAAATATTGATAAGAACCTGTTAAATTATTAATTCATTTTCAAATTAAGAATTGAGATAACTCCCATTAATATAATTGGATAATTTAAATTAAAACTCACATAAAATGTTACACTGCCAAATGGGCCAAAAATTTTGTACAAATATCAAAATATGTATAAAACTTCTACTTAAGGCACATATGATATTTGTGATATTTATAAATGACAATTATGCTCCCTAAAAAATCAGAATAATTTTAGTAAATTTTAGCAAGATGATGAAGGAGGAGGAGGTGAAGAAAATGACTGAGAACGTGATGGCAATGGACTAGTTGAACTGATAGCAAGCACACTGGTTCCATCACTAGCTAACTGTTCACTATTAACCGCATTATCGTAATCCAATTTATAATCGCCTAAATAAGGGAAAATCGATAAGATAATAAAAAGTAAAAAGTTGATATAAAATTTGAACAAAAATTGCAGTAAAGCTGATGAAATGGTGAAATAAAAAAGTCTAAAACAAATAAATAAAAGAAGGAACAGGTATGATGCAAAAGCTTTAGCACTAAGTACACCAATTCCATAATATAATTTACAAAAAATATTAGAAAAAACAAAATCCTTACATAGAGTTACAGTAAAAAATAATGTGCAGAAAATGTTTACCAGAGGCAACGATCTCTGAATAATGTGGTTTTGGACAACATATTCCATGATGATCGGCTGCACAGTTATAGCATGCGACACCATTAACATTCGTTGACAAAGTCAATAAATGCATATAATTGTAAGCAGCTGATGGAAATTGCAAAGGCTGAGTAACAGGAATAATATTTGTTCTCTGTGGAGGTATAGTAGTGACATGAAGTGGAGTGGCACAAAGAATAATATTATTTGAAGGGGCGATACTCGTGACCGGAACAGACAAAGGTGAAAAATTGCAATTTTGCAGACCAAACGTGCTCGTAGAATGATACAGTAAATCTGTCTTGCTTGAAAAGTCTAAAGACTGAGATGTATTCGTAAAAGGCTGAAAGAGAAAATTACCTAGAAATTGAAATATGGCAAAATAATCCATAATATTCGAAATAGTTAAATAATACTTTATCGGATGGTGTATTTGAAAGCAGCAAAGATTGTGGAGGACTTGTCAAACTAGAAGAATCAAGTCGTGAATGGTAAAAGAAATCTCGAAATATTTGCGAAACAAGAACTCGAGCTGGCAGATCGGGTAATGCACTAAAGATATATTAGTGATATAATTATCAAACCATAAATTACTGGATTTTCAAAAATTTTTCTCAATAATAACAAAAAATGAAAAGACATTCAAGACAATTAATATATAAATGAAAGATATTAACCGAATATATGTCAAGATTGACTTTGGATGAGATCGATTTAAATATGGCAGTAAACGAGGAATTTCTGTTTTCATACCAGCTTCATTTGGAAATTGGTCAAGCAATTTATTATGCAGTTCAGAAATTTGATCAGCAGTTTTTAAAAGATATGATATTCGATTATCGCTCCATTCAGCCTTTAAAAAAACTTATAAAATGCAGAATAAATGAATGATGAAAATTATATGTTAAGTTACGAAACCTTGATGGAATATACGTCATTTTGAGCTTTGTCTATATCAGAAATGTCTAATCGAGATATGACTATGGGGATATCTTCAGATGATGTTGTTGGTGTGAATGCCTGCAAATGAAATGAAATTTCCGATTTATGATTACCAAATTTAAAGAGAGTTTGCAAAAGAATATGAACCTGGTCATCCTGAGAAATACACTGCGGCGAATCATAAGTGAAAAATTTATCACGAATAAAACGCAGTTCTACTTTATTTTCTAATCGATAGGCCGGGTGATTTAAAGCTGTGGAAACAATAAGCTGCAGCTAAAAAAACATCGTTACATATTCAATAAAAACTGACATCAAAATCAACTAAACTATAATTATAAGAATAAGAAAACAAATAAATATAAAAAACAAACAAAAATAAACAAAAATAAATCGAAAACAAGATTTAACCTTATCAATAATTTCATCTTTCTTCGCTTTTGAAAAATTTTTTGTGGCTTCATCAAAATCAGCTATCAGTTGTTTCAATAAACTTAAAATTTTAAGATTTTCAGTAGGATTCACGCATGAATATAAAGAATACTCAAATTTCGACCAAATGAACAACGAGTAAGAGAGTTTCTCAATGATTCACCTGTGAAAAGCGTGAGCTGAACGGCGATTGGATGAATTTATTAGACTAATAATTGAAAATGCATGATTAATTAGATTCTCATAACTCTCTCTTTCTATAAGTTTTTCGATGAAAGACGACTGATTGAATTTCTCTGCATTTTGCCGAGCATATGATGATATTGGACGAACTGCAGCTTCAATACAACTGCCGAAGAATCTAAAAATATATAAATTTAAGACGAAAAAACGAAAGATCGCAAATTCGGAAAAGCACCATCTACATCATACAAATAAAAATCAAATATTTTTCAAAAGAAATATTTCAGACATCATTACCTCTGTTCATTTGGAGTTAAACAATGCACTAAATCTGCGATAGCTTCAATCCTTTGCCATCTTTTCATATTACAAATATGTATAATTACATCTTTACAAACATCTAAAACATAAATAAAGCGAGAATCGAGTACAACATAATCAGATTTTATATCATCAGATTTTATCTCAAGTCGAATGTCGATCTCAACTCAAAAATTATTGAACATAAAAATAAAATTTCACCTGTTTGTGTACCTACAGAGCAAGCAGGAATTTGATCAGTCATCAGCGTCACATCATTTTTTTCTATAGTTTGTGAATAATCTAGTACAAGATCAATCGCTGGACTTGACAATAAATCTTCAGAAGCGATGCTATCAGCTGAAGCTGAACCCACCTCACCGCTACCACTCCTATATTTACAGGCACCATTCGTTTTAGGCTGCAATTTCACCGTAGAATAAAAGTATAATTTTTTTGAATCGATGAAATTATCGCTATCAGCCATATAATACTGCCAATCATTATGGTCAATTAGATAGATGGTGAAAATTAATATAATAAATCACAGAACACTTTCGTTTTCTATTTCTGTCGATATTAAAACAAAAATGGGAAATTCAACAAAAGCATCAAGATACAAATTTTCAATGTTTATAAAGACAAAAATTGCTTCTGTGCTTTTTTATTAATTATTGAAACTTTATGGAAACTTTGCTAAATCCTTTCGTATTTTCTTTAAAGCTACAACAAATATTTTCGACTTTTACAGAAGTGATGAATGACCAAGATTATTATATCAGCTATGCAAATATATTTCATCTCATATTTAAAATTATTTAAGTCAGTAATTTACCTCTTTTTTACCATTTTCATGGTTTTATAATTTAATTATAAAATAAGAATATAGTCCATAAAAGCAAAAAAAAAATGTAAATAAATCAACCAACTAGTATATAATTGTCGATATTTGATATATTTTTCGAGCAATCAATTGACTGATTATTATAAATTTTTGATCGACGACGATATGTAGCTGTAATATTAAAATTTTCCGAATCACTACCACTTATAGTTCCACGACAACCACAGCCATTATTACTGCTACTATAGCGATAACCACGGTAGTTTCCATCATTTGTATTATTAATCACGTGTTGACGATTTACAGGGATTTGTTTATGATATAAGTGATCTACACCATTCTGCAAGACGATTTGGAATATAATCGATTTAATTCTCATAAAAATAAAATTAGATAAATTTAAATACAAATAAATAAACATACCTTAAAGAAATCTGATTCACTGAATTATAAGTGGTCTCAGCGCTCATTTCTAGGTGCTTTAGCTCCGCTGCTTGTGAACTATATTAGAAACTTGTATCAGGAAGTCACATAGTGAAAGAAATAAAGATGCGTTGCCGGAAATACTCCCAATTTTTTAATTATAACACATATTATAATAACAGGGCCTGGGAATTGGAAATATTTCAATTCATTAATTAGATCTAGATTTGTGCTAGACTTAATTCATTGAAATTCAAGTCTATATCAGTCTTAAAAGCCTTAAAAAATGACGTGGCTAGAAATCTGTTATAAGCTTGTTAGCCAAGAACAAAATTTGCTTTCTTAACTTTCTTAAATTTTTCTTTCTAATGTAAGCATCATTTACCCATTTCGTGGCTCGTACTCATATATTATAAAATGATCATATGTTTTCGCTAAATATTAATTTCTAAATGAATATAAAACAATTAATTCGCGCAAAAACGAAAAATGAACCCTAGAGAATAATTCTAACCAAGAAAATACGAAAGAAATATTGACTAGACATTTTATAAATTTGCCATCACTGCAATATTTTCCTTCTTAAAGAAAAGGCAAATATATACCAGGCAAGTAAAAGTATACACTGGTACCACTGAAGTAGAAATTTCTGAATCACTAAGACTTTTTTATTGCCATTTCATACCAAATATTTTTATACGCGTTACGCAAATAGAAGTCGCTATAAAATTTCAACATATTCTTAAAAAACACTATTTAATCCAATTTTTTAAATTGATGAACAAACAATTACCGGAATATTATTATTGTTGTTGTTATTCTTCTTACTAGAACTACGTTTCTTTCTTCCAACCATCTTATCGAATAGACATATAGGAGCACCAGTTACAAAATAAACATAAATGTAGCTGAAATTCATGTCGATGAAGTCATTCCAAATTATTTTAAACACGAAATTCGAAAATACGATGGTATATCAATTTTCACGAAACGATTCATGACATTGTTACATTAAAAATCGCGTTTTCATTTTATTTCCAAACTTTTTCAACGCTACAAAAAATTAAACAATAGCAAAAAGAACAAATTCGACAAACCATCAGCAAATAAATTAAATGGATGAAGATTTCTATAAAAATTTTACAGAAATGGATAGATTTCTATAAAAATTTATAAATTGCTATAATCATTACTAAACAATTTTATATCAAAATCCTTCTATGGATAAAAGTCCAGAAAAATTTTTTTGGATAAATGTTGTAACTGACGGATTATGCAGCATCGCGATATGCGAAACGATATAACATTTTATTTTTTTTTCGATTTTTCAAACAAAATTAAGTTTTCCACGATGAAAATTAAAATATATGTTCTTCATGAGCGAAATGACGCGTTTTTACCATCGAACAGCGAAAAATATTTATTATTTGCATTGTACTAAAAAAAATAAAAATTCAATAAAAACTAACAAAAGTCATATTTTAATTGCATAATTATATTAATATTTAAATAATAATTTTGAGAGAAAAAAATTTATTACAAATAATTTAAAGAGAAGAGAACAAATAAAGCCTAAAAAATGAATCAAAAATTTTTAAAAAATTTTTAAACTAATTATTCATATAGATAAAATGGCACTGAAATAATTGAATAGCTGAAAATTCAACTAGAGTGACCAGTTTTACTGTGAAAAAAAATGTATCTGAATGAGGTTAATAAATCCTATTTAAACATACTCATTTCATGTTCATGATCATATTCTTATGTCATATTTTTGTCACATTTTTTAATTTTAATAATCCAATGGTGACATCGTCTTTCATTTGCACAAAAATAAATCGGCATATTTAAATTATATAAAGATAAGAAACGGATATAAATGTTACGAATTTACGAATTGAAAAAAGAAAACTATAATTTTCCTTATAAATAGGATCAATTCTCTAAAAAGAATAGAAAAAAAAACAAAAACAAAAGTAAATCATACTTCGAATGTCATGTCACGAATATGAACATAAACAAAAAGAAACTGACTTTTGGTTCATATTTATTAATTTTTCTTATAAACTGCAAATCGAAATTTTATCCCATTCTCTTCTTGATCATTTGAGGGATCTTCTGGGTAATTTTCCCTAGAGAAAGAACGAAAATCGATCGTCGGGAAGAAGGTATCAGCATTAAAATTACCATCCACGAATGTTATGAATAACTGAAAAAAATGATTTTATTTTGGAGAATTTAAAAGGACTAATGAATAAATATAACAAATATTTAAATATAAATCTCACTAATTTTTTCTAAAAAACAAAAAAGAAAAAACATGAAAAATTAGTGCAAAATGTAAAGTGAATAATTCATACTTTATCTAATAAATTTGATTCAAGACCTTTTCTATAGACCTCAATACCACCTATGTTCCAAATCGTTTCAATATCATCCATTTTTTGTATTGTATCAATGGCACTTTCAAAGCTTCGAGCAACGATAATATTTTCGAATGGTTCCATCTATAACAGTTTAAAACTATTGAGAATAAAAAATTTTCGAATATAAAAGTATAAAAATTCAATAAATAAATTTAAGCAGCAATTCTCCAGCCAAAATAGTTCAGTAATTCAATAAGCATTAATTAATTAATAAACATTAACGAAGGATAAAGAAGACAATGGCTAAATTAAAAAATGAGTAAATCTACGAAAAAAAAAATTTTCACCGGAAAACAAAACAAATGGAATAAAAAGAATAAAACGAATGAAAAAGCAGCGTGGAAAGTAAGAACCCTCTTGGACCAACCAAGTGACCACCGGTCACATTCTGTCCAAATATCGTGTAATACCAGCTTATTAGCTTTCCTCATTTCGGTAAAGAACTCTGACTCGCAGCAGAGATAATGGCTATATCATTGTGGTGTTTCGGATAACTCGGGGTGAAATGGCGTAACGTTTGAAAAGACACGATTCGTATTGATTAAGTGGAAATCAGTTAATGAAAGTATGGCCTTTGTAAGATTCAAAGGAAAATTCCGCAATATCTCGATAATCAATGCATGGCTTTCACCTTATGCGCAGATGATCATGAAAAAGATAGGTTTTGTGCTGAATTCCAACTGCCGACACCATTTCGCCCGAATTCTAACATGGTTTTGATCGGTGGAGACTGGAATACTGGCACATGTGGTCATGATATTAGGCAAATCAAGACCTAGACTGATACGGTCAGGAAAGATTTTGAACGTATAGGTGGACCAGCAATATATGGACTTAAACGATGGAAAAAGGAATGGCTTCTATTACTGTCGACGATGGCATCAGACCGTGCCGCTTAGAAGCGTCTTATCCTTGTAGCCATTGGAGCCAGCCTAACCAGTAATGGTGAGAGCTATTAGAAGAAAAATATTAGTCATGATATTGGCTCTGTAGTTGATAAATATGGCATTTGGGTCCAGCGGTGATGCGCCAGTGCATAATGCCTACTTCGTTATGTCGAAAAGCGTGATCTTTTTGCTATTAGTGCATCTTCCGATAAAAGAAGACATCTAGTGACAAAGATAAAAGATCTGGAGACTATATATATCAATTTATATGAATGTATTTATATCAATGATATAAATATCAAGGGCACTCATAGGATGGACGATATTGGTTCCAATGCCTGCCTCCAAAAGTCGACCAAATCCACACTAGAAAATGCCAATTGGAAATACATTAGTTGAGCGCCAGAAACAATAGAACTATCCGAGCACTCATTTCTGGAGATCCAGGATATTTCGAAAGTGGAAATACATAATCGTATTAGAGCGACGAAAATCGAAATGGCTGCTTCTGCCTTCTTTATAAAACAACTATAAATCGGGAAATGAACGGTGGAATGATTTGAGATAATACCTGAAACTACTGAAGGAGGCCTTGTAAGGCGAAGGTTTACTTTTTGAGGTAATCCTAAATTTAAATAAGATGCGCCATATACTATTTCGAATAAAACTGAAACACTCGAACCTTATGCGAACTGCCAAGAGAGTAAGAAATGATGTATGCAAGCTCAATAATGTTCGCAGAAAATATCTTTAGGATGAACTCTTTAAACGTTACTTACCATCTTTTATAATTTACTCTCTGGTATGAAAGAGTTAATATCAGATGAATGGGTCAAAGCAATTCTGCTCCCAATCTCCAAGAAGTGATAGAACAAATTATAATTGCTGAGAATTGTAATAATTAGCTTTTTAGATATCTCTGGAAATTTCCACTTTCTGCTGAATAGACTTATGGACTGAGGGACAACAGGATCTTAATCTATCTGGATTCAGATCAAGGACAAATTTTAATGCATATAAAAGCGTTGACCATTCCACATCGACATCAGAAGCCACTTTTTTATTTTACTATCTTCGATTCAATTTCTCAAGGCTCTGGAGATGATGGACCAGGATTCTAGAATATAAACGAAAAACTACTTAAAATCACTGAAAGAAATTATCTGATTCATAAAGGCATTTTGCTAGCATGCACTGACTCAGGTCTTTATGAGTATATATATGGAGAACTGATAGATAAATATATCGTTTCGAAACAAAAAAATGATGTCCACCAGAGCTACAATTCTTTCCACTACAATATTTAAAATATAATAATCCACTACAATGTGTGATGCGACAAATTGCATTACGCACACATCCAAGAAAATCAATCAATCCAAAAGTCAATCCAGAGTATCACAAATCAAAAATCTTAAATGTTGAAACGTAATCCTTTTAGCTGATGGTTATTGAAAGAATACGACACCTTAGAGCAAATGAAGTAAAAGTAGAAGTAAAAATTCAATGTAAAACGACAAGAATCTTTTCGTTTTACCATACCAGATGCTGATACTTTTTCTGATAATTCAGCACAGTTTGAGAAAGTGGCAGACTTTATTTTGAATCCATTCTTATACCAAATGGCCAAGCAAAAGACAAAACTGCCGCCTGGATAACGGTAAGTAGAAATGCTTTCTTTTCTCTGGCGAAAGTTCTATGGAATCACCGCGGAATCACTATGAAAACGAATGTTCGCATCCACCTAGCCACACATCATATTATATACCTAGCTATCAAGTGAGAGTGGAAGATAAGAAATTGTGGATCCCTTTGACCACTTTTATTTAAAATACAATTTGCTTATCTACTGAGACAAAATTTCACACGATCGCATCCATCTTCGTTTTCGCAGATATTATTTGCTTTAACAATATCATCATAAAGTATTGATGGTAAGGTAAGATACAGTCAGGAAAGCTCATATTGGCTCAGACGATGGAAAACAAAATGGTTTTTGTTGCAACAATGGTTTTTGTATGCGATTTAATCAACTGGCTTGGAAATGCCTTAAGCTAGCAGCTAATGCAGTCACCAACCTTAATACTATAAGAAGACAAATGGAAATACTATACTTAAGAAAAAAAAATACTATAATTCTACACTTATATTTCCAATTAAAAAAACAAAAAATCTAAAAACTGATCAATATTTACCGTCATACTTAGCACAACATTTAATCGATTCTTAAGTGGACGAAATTTTTCAGGGATACTTTGCCACACCTTCCGTCCCATCAAAACTACATTTCGTTTGTTTTTATCCGTTGTTTTTGTTGTTAATTTGCCAAAACGTATTAAATCTTTCGATAGATTCCACGGCAAAGAACCATTTTTTCCTATACCATTATATGAATCTATTGCAACAATTATGTTCATTGGAATGCCCATTATTCGATCTAAAATGAGAATCGACAAAATTAATCATTTAAAATGAATAAAATTATAAATTAATAAAATTCCAATTTCGTAATCTAATATAGGCATTTGAATTCAAATGAAATTAATTTAAAAAATAATAAATTAAAAAAATTAAATTAAAAAATGAAAAATAACTAAAAAGATTTATGAAGTAATAATAAACAAAAAATAATATTGTCTGAGAAAAGATAAAAACAGCAATAAAAAAATTAACAAAATATTTATTTCTCATAACAAAAACTTTTTCATGGAGATACAATTGCCAGTTAAAGAAAAAAAATTTAAGCCAAAATTTAATTTTAACTTAATTTTAAGCAAATCTTTAAAAATATCTCCAAGAATTTATCATAAAGTAAAATCATGTCTTACAGAATGGAAAAAAAATCGTCTTTTAGAATAACAAAACAGCTAATTTAAAAATTGAAAAATGCAGTTATTAAAGTAATTTCCATTACGATTTTAAAAAATGGATCTAGACTTCTACATAATACTTAATCAAAGAAATTCACTCAAAAATTCACTCAAATTCAAATTCAAAATACAACCTTTCAAGCAAAAAAATAAAAACTAACTAAAAACCGAATAAAGAACTATTATAAACATTATTCGATCCAATTATAAATTGCAAAAAAAATTCGGCGATTTTCCATTACCATTCATAAATGATAAGAGCTCATCGAAATATACTTCGAAATTCTTCGAAAATCATAAGAAGATTAACAAATTTCACTACAATAAAATATGATTAGAAATCAGAAAATATGTACAATAAACATCCACGAAAATTATTGATAAAAGTTTTTTCTAAACAAACATAATGAATCTTCGTTCCTAACAAATAAAATATAATAAAAAATAAGCAAAAAAATGATAATTTAATGAAATTAATCAAAAATTTTAAAAAACCCAAATATTAAAAAAAAATAAGTAAATAGAAAAATTTAAAAAAATTATCTTTTTTTCAAAAGGTGCAATACCGGCAATGCTAACAGTATTAAAACATAACAAGAAAGAAAAGTAAAAAGCTCAAACACTATAAATGTTCAATTTTCTTCACTGACTGAAATCACCACTTCTGATTTAGCTGGCTCTATTGGTTATTAGAATAAGCTTGGGCGGAGGGGGATTCATTTGAGAATAAACAGCAGTCTAACCTATGATAGCTTAACCTCAGCTGGCGCCATTCGACAACTCTATCCGCAATTAATTCGCAAATAAGCGAGTGCAGCCAGCCTGACCATCAGTGGCATGGTGGTGGTCGTCTTGTCATGCTCATATATTCATTGCCTGACTTGATGTGCGACCTTTTAATCTGGTTTACTTGAACAGTCAAATTCAGCTTATTATTAATATTGTTCCACATCACTGAAAATCCTTAAAATATTAACATTTGATTCAAATTATTTCCAAATCGTTTGTATATTACCTAAGTTATTTATTTCTGTTAACTTTCTTAAAATAAAAAGTGCTCAAAATTCAAATACCATTTAAAACTTCAATATTTCTTGCAAATGTTAACGAATTTAAGAGAATTATTTTCATAAATTTAAGAACAGAAACTTACTGATGAAAACATTATTTTTTTTATATTTTCCCAATGATAAACCGCTTCTTCCCAGAAGAAAACCTCCTTCTTCGCGGAATCCGCGTGAAAAACAGGCGGAAAATCAAACGAAAATAAAATCCAATCGCAAAACGTTCCAAAAAAACAGCGAATAAAAATAATTTCGAAACGCCTTCGATGAAAAAATGGAAAACTAAAACACTCTTAATTTCGCTTTAAGACCAAACTTTTCAAATATAATTATATATTGTAACTAAATAGCTAAATAGTTTATCAATATTTTTTGGAAATTTTTCATCAATAATTCTTAATTTTCAATGATTATAATTTTATATTTTTATTTTCTATAATTATAATTGTTCTTAATTTTTAATTTTCTGATAATTTTCTACAAGAATTTCGCAATAATTCTTAGTTTTTCTTTAAAACGCAATATTTATTATGGCTGAAACATATTGCATTTTTGTAGAGGCTTAGGCCTGGAATATAACTGGCTTAAAGGCTTACGTTTCGAATAGAATTGGCCCAGCCAATCGCCAAACTTTTCGGTAAGATTCTTTTATGATAATAATTATCTTTTTTCGATGGTTAAAATAATCGTCGATGATTATTTAGCGAATATTTATTTATTAAAAAAGAATCGAGCCGAGCCTAAGCTATGCGCTCGATATTGAGGAATAAACAAGCATAGGCGGCAAATATTCCAGGCCTAAGCCTTGCCAAGATTGAGGGTCCATAGAATTAAAAAGAAATCCAGTTTATTAGAACTGCTATGAGAAGCGAAGCAAAATTACGCGGTGAGGCAACTTATTCGAGCGCAAGGCTTTGGAAAGTGAGTTCAGTTTTATAAACGGTTTGTGCAGATTCAGTCTGTCGGCCGCTGCAGCATGGAATTTGAGCACAAATTTAAGGATAATGCTTACTAAAATATGTGCTGGCAAAACCGAACACCTTGCAACTTAAATATCATCGTTTAATCCTTTTGGTCCTTACAGAATCCATTTTATGATGGTTGTATGTCGCCGGCTAACTATGCTCCAAATAAAACTACGTTGCAGATTCTAAATCCGTTATAACTTACTTACTTCCGAGGATCGCTTCGCTGACTTTCCGTATGAAAGCCAAATTTCAAGCCAATTTTTATCAATAATAAAGCCAATACATTACTGATGCGTTGAGGAGAAAGCACTGTCAGTGGGAATCAGGCAGGAAAAGGTCAACTTCCAGCCGATTTTCAACTAATGCAATGTCGCGTAAAATTTTACATTTACTGGCAGATATTTATTTATCCTCAATTATTTATTAATAAAGTAAATTAATTTGTAAGACGGAAAAATCTTCCACGTGAGTTGTATATTGCATACTTTTTACTTTTTTATCTTATACTTTACAATTCATTAGCTAAAAATATTTTAGAATTAGAGATAACACAACCAGAATTATATTATAATAAAAATGAATCGAATCGATAGCAGTCTGAATTATTATGCATAATAAAAATAATTCGTGTTGTTAAATTGTTGATAAAACTGTTAATAAACGCTTGAAAACGATCGATCAAAAATCAAAAATCCATTTAAATAATTTGCCATTAATGCCGTGTCGAAAAGCTTCGTCAGTCTGGCCTTCCTTTTGCTTGTGGACCCTTTCTCCATTCCTTCTTGAGACGTGGGTGTTGATATTTGTAACTGCCTCACTGGCTCTTTCGGTACCCTATCGTCCAGTTGTCTTTTTATTGTTGATGACGATCGCCTAGTCCTTCTTATCGGTCTACCATTTTTAATCGGTCCTTATTGATTGTGTTAATAAGCTTCGCGTTTTATTTTCGAGTTCTATTTTTAATTTTCGCGATCTCAGGCTTTTATCGAAGAATTAGATATTAGAATTAGTAAGTGATAAGTGACTAGAGTGCTGCAATGACTCGGGTTTAGCAAGCCCACCACACTTTCGTCGTCAACTGGCGATCACCTAATGGGGAATTCTTCAAAAGTTTAAAGCCTTAAAAATCAAAAACAGATTCGAACTAATAAATCAACTTTATCAACTTTAACTTTATCAGCACAGCAAAGATCAATTGGTACAATTAATGCAACATTTATCTACAGGCTTTAATGAATCAGCAAGAAAAACAATAAGCCGACGGCGCCAACAAAGAGCAAGTCCGCCGAGCGAAGCTCTCCGAACGACCAGTGAATTAGCTACAATCTTTGATGACTCAATAGGGAATGAATGAAAACCCTACTGAGGGCACAAGCCACAAATAAGATAAGAGGAGAGTGTTCTGACCTCAATTTAATGTAGCCGTTTGGCAATAACCCATAATCTTAATTATCTACCGTATAATGCAATACCAAAGACCTTAATTCGATCAAGACACACGATTTATTGATGCAAACCAATCATTAACAAGAAACTTTTTTTACGAGCGCTCCATTACTGGTTAGACTCGTTCCGCTGGCTTATTGCTCTAGACAAATATGCCAGGGAGTGCCTTGGCGATAGAGATAGAGGAGATCACTCGTCAGTACCACTCAGACTTTTGGACAGGTCTAATCGTGGAGGGAGTGGGACCTGAGCATCGGCCTTTCGAACTGGGCAGTAATATTAGACTATGCATTTTTTCCAAATAATCGATGAGATCCTTTCTGGTCCTAAATATAAAGGTGGATTGAGGATTTGCAGTGAGCGTAATGCACGAACTGTTGCAATAGTTGGAATTTTTTATAAGTATTGCAATTTGTTAATTATGCTTAATTTTCATAGAACTTTTCAGTTTAGCAACTTCCTCCTTCATGGTTTTCAATATATTATATAACCTTAGCACATTTTATTAGATCGCAACTGTGGGAGCTGAGTTCTCCTCTCTTAATGCATTATTGAGTCAGCCGATCGGTTTATCATTATTTTGCTGTTCTTTTGCTTGGTGCATATTATAATCGTTTGGAAATCGCTGTCGTCGGGAACGTCGCTTTGTTCGCATTCGCCCTATACCCAGTCGCTACACTCACCGTAGTAGCGAGCAGAGACGTTCAATGCTTCCACTTTCATAATTCGACGATAATTTGCATACTTCACGCAGGGCGTAGTTGTTTCTTGCATAAATTACGCTTTTGTAGTTATTATAGTAGTAAAAATAAATAAATAATAATAAATAATATTTATATATTTATAATATCGTTTAGAAATTTGCTAGAAAAATATTTATTAGACAAATTGACAACACTTATTATGTGATTGCAAACCGTGTTTGAGTTCCGACAAATTTGTAGAATTTGGAAAATTATTTTCTTTAAAAGTAAAAATTGCTTCGTGAAAATCGCTTCGTAAAAATCTTTACAAATGCCAAATCAAATGAAAAGATTTAACGTGTTTGCGATTTCCGAAGGACCTTCAATATTTTCAGAAATTTGAAGAATTTTTTGCAACTTTCTTCTTGATGATTGCATATGTCGTTCAATAAGATTGAATATGATTGTTATATTATCGGAGAAAGTTTAATTCGCCTGGCCCAATGTAGAGAAACAAAATTGATTTGTGCAAAACATGCGACTCAGTTAAAATTTGAAGAAATCTATTAAATAGAAAATAAAAAATGGAAAAATCTTCCTAATAATTTGGATAGATTCGAACAATGTTGCATTCACTGCTAAAAAGATCCTGCAGTCTTAAAATCACGATTAATCAACTTGAACAGTGAAACTGTTAATAGAATTTCTAAAATTGCCTAAGAGGGGTAGTTTGCGATAATTTGTCTCCGATCGATGTAAGAACGTCTTCGAATCTGCTAATTTTAGACAAACAACTACTTATCAACTTATCAAGTCTAAGTCGCGCAATTTAAAATCGCACATAATAAGTTAAATGAAGAAAGGTCGTGAAAATTGCTAAATTCTGCAAGAGTCTAGCGATAATCGTTAGGAAGTCATATAAATTATTGATGTTAATAATAATGATAAATGGTATGATAATATCAATAATTTGATTTAAAAGACGTGAAAATAGAAGAAACAGAGAATGTGATAAGATATGATTGATTTATCTTGGCGATAATCTCTGCAAAAAGTTATATCGCCTGAATTAAGAATCCTTTTTCGCAATCCTTTTTTGTGTTAGCGAAGGCTTTTAAAAACCAGTAGATCATTTTTCCATATTTTTTTTCAGTGCATAAATGCATAAGACTATAATTGTGAAGTGATATGAGTAGAAAGTAGAAATCTGTACTTTTATCGATGATCGGTAAAGCCTTATTGCTAATACTGCAGTTTTATTACTGGCAAGAAAGACGCAAATTGTCTCTCATATACACATGGATCTTCTGAAGTCGATCCACTAATTCTTTGAACGTTTCAGTGCTTAGTGTCTCCACTAATTATTGATCTGTCAGGCTGATGAGCTCAATAATCAGATGTTACGGAGAACAAATGAATATCTCGTGATGTAATCTAATATCCATTTGTCTACAGAGCAAATCAGCTTTGCAGATACTGTCGCAACATCCGTTGATAGTGGAATGATATCGCTGATCGGTGATTTATCTAGGTCTTGCTAGCATTTTGATACGATCTCCCGCAGTAAATTGCCTGTGGTACTGTAGCCAATTTAGGTTGTCTAGGGATCGTTTTCAACCTTTTTTTTCGAAAAATATCACCTCTTAAATTCTCGTTGGTTAGTTCGGATAAATTTTGGCAGAGAATCATTTGCTGATAGAACTACAAGTGAGTTGCCACCCGAATTTTTGACGAGTTTACTCTATTCTGCCGAATTCATATATCCTAGCAAGGATTCTCCGAAAAGGGAGCAATAAACCACTGAGCAATTAAAATATGAAAATTTTAAACTTAAACAAAAACTGAAGAAAAAAATAAAGAAATAAACAAGTAAAATAAAAAAATAAAGAAAATGAGGGTTTAGATAATAAGACGATTTAATTAAAATAAAAATAAATTTAGTTAGTTGTAGTTGTTTATTGTTAGTTGGCCATCGTTTGCGAATATATATATATACATATATGAATAAGCCACAAATTAAGGGTACTTTGATCCTCTGATTGCATAGATCCTGCTTGGTTCTCCTTGTTTTTGACGCTATCCAACATAGGGTCAGACAGGTAGCCAATCTCTTCGATTGGTGGCGAAGAATATAACCTAACAAACGACAGTCTGTAACGATTCAGATTGTTTGAGCGAAGATAATTGAAAGATTTTATGTAAGATTTTATCCGCATGGCGAATGTATTTTAGATATGAGTAGTCATGAGTAGTCATGGTGGATAGCTCCTTAATATCTCACGTTCTCATTGGCTAATTTTGCAACTAAATAATAGAATGGCGTTCGCTAGAGCCACTTAGACAAACTTTCGCTTTTATAGTTTTGGATATAGATTTTACGGTGAATCTGTAGAGGCTTTGCAGGACGAAAGAATACTAAATGCGCTTATCCGGATGGCAATTTCCTCTTTCCTTTTTTGATATGCGTGGATCTAAGATTAAAAATCTGTCTTTCTCGACCTGTCGTGGGTTGATAAAAACATTTTATCAGCATCTGGTATACATAACGAAAAAATTTCGCGTTCAAAGTGTCCAGTAGCTAGGATCTCCTGACATTTATTCATTAGCATGAATTTTTTGTGGTTTTAATAGAATGAGCTTGAAAAATAATATTGGTGATGATATCAGACGATAGAGCACTTGAAAAAATAGTGGTAATGGCGATATCCGATGATAAAGATAATAAGGACAAATAACTCTTTGATTCGAAACAAATTAACATTGAAATTAACATTGAAAACCAAATTGTGGTAATTATACGTAACACACCAGCATTTTTTCAGTTGTTGTGCATTAAATATTCAAAAAAATCTGGTCAAATAAAAATTTAAAGAGAAAAAATAAAGAGAAAATTCCCAATAAAAGAAAAGAAAAATGGGAATTATTCGAACTAGCAGCTACTTTCGACCTTTATTTTCCTTCAGGTTGGTGATTAAATGATAAGAGATTGAAGTGGGACAACTGTGGTGGAAATTTTTCAAACAGTAACTTTTATCAGCAACAATTTAAATAATTTATTTTTGAAATATACGATCGGTTAATCATAAGAAACATCAGAAATAATATGCACACACTTCTCTTGTTAAATTGGTATAAAATGCAATTGTATGGTCTCCTAAAATTTTTATCATTTTGCCCTTTATGATCATTAAATAGAATAAATAAAGAACTCCTTATGAATGAAATTCGAATAAAATTTTGGTGAAGCGAACTGAAGAGAGAAACAGTTCAATAATTTCAAAAAATATATGTAGCATATAATGGTACTACCGCTAAAAGCCCATTACAAATCGTTCATTAGCCGACTCGCAAAACAAGAATTTACATTTAAATCATGTCATATATTAAAAACATCGTTATCACATAAGAAATGTAATTTAAAAAAGGTTTAATGAACTAAGAAAAAGGAAAAACAGGATTTGTCCTATTAAGTAAATACGTAATATTTAAAAAAACAAGACAATAGAAAAATAAATATTATTTTTGTTAATTCATTACCAACCAAAATGATATATTTTTCTGATTGCAAAATCTGAGTTAACAATATTCTTTTGCCATAAATCAAAATTTTGCAATTGCTTTTTAAAACATTAAATATATCATTTAAAATATTATATTAACTTCATTAAGTCAATACGCTGATCAAACGCAAAAACAAAAAGGAATAAAATTTTAATTATTTGAAAGAAAAAAGAAACAACATACACGACTGTAAATACTACGACGATTTTCCCGTTAAGTGATTTTTGAAGCACACTATGTATTATGGATATGGCCAAAACCAAAACTCGTTTTCTGATAATCACATAGCAACAATAATAATGGCATTAATAGTTGCAATAAAAAAAAAAAATGTGCTAATTATCAAAACAGTAATATTAATTGTGTAATATTAAAAAATAAGTACAATAATTATAAATAATAAATATCACAAAACAATAAAAAAATTATTCAGCTGTTTGCTCGACCTTTATGACTGAATTATGTATATTATTAGAATATGGATTAACAAGTGCTAATACTGAATTGTTTACTAAATCTAACTGAGTTTGAATTTCAGCAAGGCACTGTTCCGTCGATGATTCGACTTCCGTACTTGGCTCAACACTTGCGGAACACAATAAACCATCATCATCACCTAATATCATTGATGATGTTGTTGCCACCGTTGTTGGTGATGTAGGTAATATTAAATCGTCTATCGATGTAGCAATATTTGATAAATTTTGTTGCGTCAATGATTGAATAAGTGCTGATGGCCTTAACGATTGAAATAAACTTGTTTCGATAGCTATAGGACAGTTATCTGGACGTAATGCTGGCACAGATATTGGAACAGAAGCCGATGCTGCACGTTCATCATTACGTTCGCTCTCCATCGGTGTATTTGACTGACTAGCATCAGGTGATGGTGTCGATGCTCCTTCCGACGAACTCTATAATTTATAAACATTAGAATTTATTTGCAAAATAAGAAAATGAAGTTTTTAATAAATATAATAATTAGCACGATTAAAGCCTATTGTAACTGAAAGGATAAAACTAATTAGCCTTGCTTTTGTTTCGAAAAAATCAACTTTAACCAAATCACTAACGAACTTAATAATTTAATGATAAAATTTGCAGTTCTTGAGTGAACCTTATATAAAGTAAAATGATGGTAAATCACCATATGATTTGCGTTTTAGTCTGGAAGGATGAAAAACTGATTAGCAGTTAAATAAACAAATGGCGATCCTTGCAGCCAAATGGACACAAACTTTCGTCTTTATAGTGATTTTGCCGCGGTTCTATAGAAGTTTTGCTGATGATCGAATTTAATAGGGCATTTATAAACTTCATTCTTGCAGTAGGTAGGCAATAACTAAGTAAACGCTAACGCTAACATTTCTGGTTCGGCTAACTCCAGTGGCTGTTGGTGATATAGAATGGTTCAGTTCTTGCTCAATACGGAGCGCCGATATTGATGTTTTACTCCTTGCGGAAGTAAATCTAACCAAAATGATACTGCCAACTTACCTGTACTTCCATCGCGAAGGGACTTCCTGGTATATTTGTCTAGTGCGATAAGCCAACGGAACGGGTCTAATCAGTAATGGTGAGAGCTCTTAAAAAAAGATGACCGTCAGTGTGGTGAAAAACTTTTATCACGGAAGTCACTTGACGACAGAAATGCATGTGAGTTGCTAGTATTCCAATTTTTTTATAACAAGTTTTTTCCTCGTGAAGCAGAACTCGTGCCTCTCAACACAATAATCTAGGTCCTTTTGACACATGGCTTTCTGACACTGGTAAAATTTATATAAAATTATGATTTATATAATAGCATAATCTATAAAAAATTCTTATGAAATTCGTTTCTACCTCATCTCAGATAAAGAATTAGTGAAACTCATATAACGAAATTAAGAAAATTCCATTCAGAGCTCTGGCAAAAATAGCCACTTGGAGAAAATTAATATTTTAGGAAAATTTAAAGAGAATATGACCAAAAATTATCCCAGTTGAGTATTGGTTTAACAAAGTAATAAAATCGACTTGTGAAGCTCATGAAATGCCTCTTTTTATAAATTGCCGGTTGAAGAAGTGCCGGATTTTAAATACCTTATACACTCTAATACCAAATACCAAATGGCCAAGCAAAAGACGATATTACAACTAAAAATATAATCAGTAGGAAATATAATCTAAAATTATTATAATGATCAAATGTTGGATTCAGACAATCGCGGCAATGTTCTAGAAATGCGTTCTTTAGGTTGAAACCTTTATGCAGCCGTCGTAAAATCATAAAAACGAAAGCCGCAATTATATAGCCGTGATTCGTTTGATCTTGTTATATGGCTTTGAGACATGACCAATGAGAGTGGAGGATATTAAGAAATTAAACTCATATCTAAGGTACTGCATTTTACGCCGAGTGAATAAAATCTCATATGATCGCATCCACCTTCATTTAAATGTCACTTGCATTAACAGGGCTATCACAGGGTGTCGCCTTCGCTGGTTAGGACATTCTTTTTCGCCCACCACAGGAGTTGACGCATATTTCTTGCTAAACCGTATGATGGATGGTATGAAAATCGAGATGGGCCAATCAAGAACTGGACTGGTACGGTCAGGAAAGAATGTATAGATCGACCAGCAATATATGGACTTAGACGATGGAAAAAGGAATGGCTTCTATTGCTGTCGACGATGACATAAGACTGCACCGTTTGGAATCGTCTTACCCTTGTAGTTGCTGGAGTCAGCCTAACCAGTAATGGGGAGAATTGTTAGAAGAGGAAAATCGACTTGTTCTTTACCCATTTCATCTCATTTTTAATTGTTTTTTATTTATTAAAAAAACAAAACCATCTGGGAAGAAAAGTTTGCATTATTCGCTTCATTCAACTCTTCATTTGATCGACGCCGTAATTCTTTACGTTTATTTGCAAACCAATTTGCTACGACTTGCGGTGAGACAACTTCTTTAGGCATCAGACCGACTCCTAAAAATATAATCAGTACGAAATATAATCTAAAATTATTTTAATGATCAAATGTTTGATCCAGACAATCAGTAAATATTAATTCATTATCTAGAAATATCATTAATATTCACACAAAATCAAATTATGTGAATAAGTAATATTTTGGACCACCAGCCGTTCTCAAATATGTTCTTTTTTTAGGTGATGCATGGAGATAAAACTACTTAATAATTTAAAAAAAAAAAATTTTTTTTTTAAATATCAATTTCATATAAACAAAAGCCGTTTCGCAATGCTTAATAATTTTTAATGCTACAGTGGCAAAAAGTCGAGTTCCAGGCAATAATAACATGAGAGTTTATACATAAAATTTTACCACTTTACCAAACTGCCACAAGATTTCTCTAGGAACTTTCCCAAAATCGTGAAAAAACCCAGTTTTTTAAGTGAAAATATCAGGAAACAGCTCGCATCAATAGTTTTTGCATTCAAATATAACCTTTTTTGTCGATCTGCAATGCTTGATTACAAGCGGTAGCTATCTCAATTCGTCGATTTAAATCAGGAAATGGTGTTTGTGCGAAAAAACCTTCAAGTATTCTTATTAAAATTGGTCTAAAAACATAGCGTTCTCTTCGCTGCGGTATTAATTCACCATCACCATTCGTCTCCAAACGTGTTGATGGATCGGCAAGAAATGATGCTAAAATTTGATTAATTCTTTCATTTTCATAAAGGTAAATTTCAAATATAAATTAAATATTAGGAAATTTCACATAATCAAACAAACGGAAGAATTCAATTAATTCAAAAATTGGTTTAGTACAGCATTTCCAAATTTTTTTTGCCATGAATATTTTACTAATCACGGAACATTTAAATTGAATTCGCGGTTTTTTGCGTCTTAAAATAAACAAATACTATTTCTTAAGCGTTTATTTATGCAAAATTATCGCAAGATATTTGCGCATAAAAATAGAAAAAATTATATCTTAGTTTAAACCTAAAATTAAATCAATTGCAGGCAAATAAGAATAATAAGAATTTGAGAATTTTTTGCTGCTTTTTCCATCTTATAACTAATAATGAAATGAAATACACAAAATAAAATAGAGTAAAAATAAAGGTTATCAAAAAAGAAGAATTAAGAAAATATAAAATTTCTCTAATAAAAATGGTGGCAAGATTAAGTTGGATAACAATAGTGTAACCAAGCATAACACTATGCACATATAGATTATAAGCATAAATCTGATATATCAGTTGAAGTATAAGAATGAAGAAAAATTAAAATTATGAAATGAATTAAGCAGGATTTAATACAAAAATGCAAAATTTTCAATGGATAATAATAATAACGGATAAGTTAGATTATATCAACTACAGCCTTAGCCTGAATGGAAATGCAACTAGATCTATTGGCTTGAAAATACTAAAGCTCATTTGCAGAAATAAGTCGAGCAGTTATTTCATTCGGCAAGAAATTATGAGCAGTTATAATTATTTCATTCGTTCTATTAACTAATGGAAAAAGTGGTCTGTGCGCCATCACTCGTTCTTAAAGAAAATTAAATAGGAATCACTGTTACTGTTAAAGGGAGTGGAAATAAAGATTTTCATTGATATGAAATAATTTGGTATTTTCATAACTTTCTGTTTACATTCAGTTTAACTGGGCAATTCCCTTATTGTACAGTGTAATAAATTCAAGCACAAGGTTGTATGCCCTATGATATGGCTTTTATTTATTTAAATAAATAATGGAAAAGAATATAATTAAAACCCAAATTTTATCAAGAAATTGATTGTATTTGACATAATCAACAATTATTTTTTTATTTTTGGTTGCCTGCATTAGTTTTCCAAGGCTTTTCCTATTAGAAAATTTTGCCTAATACTACGATTAATATGGTTATACTAATTTATTTTTTCTGTTTCATTCACAGTTTCTTTTTAGACTTATACCATCGGCTATGAGTGTTTTGGCAGTAGCGTTTCTCAAAGATTCATTTGGGGATAGAAGGATAAAATAAAGATAAATCTCTAGCAACAACAAGACTTGATTTAATAACAGGTTTATAGTCCATTAAGGATGGAAGTTTGTGTGAATAGCCAGCATCATCGAATTTTTCGACAAGTTTTTTCCCAATGTGATTAAATCTAAAATGAAATTCTCGCCATAAAATCGTTGAAATCAATGGAAATAGAAATGAATATGAATCCTTAGCAACATCAGATAATACCTCCTATTACTACCAAAAGAATATAAGAGTATATATTTAATGGATTGCATCTCTGTCGTCCTCCGTCGTTCACCACAGGAGTTGACGCATATTTCGCTACTTGCAGAGCTCAGTGATAAAGCGAGTAGGACCAATCAAAACCTGGACTGAGATAATTAGGAAAGATTTTGAACGTATAGAAGGATCAGCGACATATGGACTTAGACGATGGAACAAGGAATGGCTTCTATTACTACTGGCAATGGTGTCGGACCGAGCAGCTTAGAGACTCTTGTAGCCAGCGCAGTCAGTCTAACCAGTAATGTGAGAACTGTTAGAAGAAGGATTGCATCTCAGTGAATATTTTATACAACAGCAAACTCTCTGGAAAAAATTTTTCGCCTTTCATTATTAATTTCCAAATTTCTATTGATTTGAAATGCTTCTATTATTTTAAACGAAGCTACTCTATTAAACGAGCGATTATTAACTTTAAACGAACGATTATTTATGGCAAATTGTTTTAAAAAATTATGAAACCCAAAAATAATGATGGTTCATATTCCAACCATAGGAAATTGGCTGATCAATTTAAAAAGTGATGATAGCTAATCAAAAGAAAAATTTGGAAATAATATAAATTATGAATATTTTATAATAGGACTGATCCCAGAAAATCCAAGAATTATGGACTTCGAAAAAGAAGAAAAGAAAATTAAAAGCTAAATAAATTAAATAAATTACAGCTTTTTGGTATAAAATAGTGAAATCCATTTAATGCAGTCAATCAACGTTCCGTTCATTACATTATTTTTATTAAAAAAATTTAAATAATCTATTTTTTCCACTTATTTAATTCAAATTTTTTCAACTTTTTTTTGAAAAAAGTAAATAGATAGAAAATACTTCTGATAAGACTAACTGTTCGGACTGTTAGTACGTGCCAGCGTCACTTGATGGTAAATGACATTCTACTCCTTCTACTTCGATGGCAAATGAATATTCTACTTCTAAATAAATAAATATCTACGTTTCAGTTTTTCAGATGATTAATAAAACTTAATTATATCTATAATCTATCCATATCTACAATCATTACCCTGAATGTTGATTAAACTTGATCATTAAAGATTGCAGTTTGAGTTTATTATCCAGGATTTGTGCATATAAAAAAATAAGGTAAAAGCTATAAATCGACAGATTTTCTTCGATTTTTTTCCTTTTTTAAGAGAGAAAAATTTATCAAAAACGATTGAAACAAAATGAAAAATAAATCTAATTTCGAGAACTGAAAAGAAAAGAAAAAATAGAAAAGATCAAATTCGTTCAGTTTTAGTTAATAAAAAAAAATTAAAAAAAGTTTGCTTGGCGACAAATTTAGGGAAGGAAATCGAATCTTACATGGAACAGGTTTGTCGAATAATACCTCATTTTGAAAAAAGTGAAGCCATCATGGGTCCAACTTTTGCTCCTTTACATGGACTAAACTATCATCAAAAATGAAATGCTCATGAATTTAGCCAGTGGATTCAACCAAACCACAAAATGGCGAGTTTTATAAGAAGTAAATAAATTTTTGCTATAAATTATTTTCCACTATTTGAATTTATTTTAAAGGCAAAATAAATCGTCGAATTTATGCAAAATACGAAATTTCCCTCATAAATATTATTGAAAGAATAAAGAATAGACTAATAAAACACTCTTGCAAACAAAAATTTAATTTCTTTTTCTTTTTTTCTGCTTATATAATAAATGAATTTGAATCGATTTAATGCTTTTAAGGCACTTATCGGCCCGTCCGACCGACCATTTATTCCTATAAAATTATTTTTTCGCTATTGAAAGTTCAATTAAATGCACTTTACAGCGAAAAAAAAAACGAGTTCCGAAACCAGAGTATTTTTTAAAAAAATTTCTACATATTTCTTAAATAAAATATAAAAAATTTTTTAAAATTGATTCTTTATATTAAATATTAAGATAACATTTACAAATATTATAAATAATATTACAAATATTATTCACGATGAATAATTAAAATATTTAATGATAGCCTTCCTCCTTGACAGGAATTGAACTATCACTAAAAATAAAATCCTCATGACTTTCTTGATTTTCAACATATATTCGAATTTTATTTAAAATATTTATTGAAATATTTAAAATCTATAAAAAGCTGCGAAGGAAAATTCAAGAGCAAATTAGATGAGCATTTGAATCGCAGCATGCACAAAAAATTTCGCTTGGTTCTGATAAACCATATTCTTGTGAACTATTTACCATCTTCGCAATAAGTGTGTGGCAGCCAAGCCAGTAGTGATTCAGGTAGTATGGAGAAGCAACTGCCTAACTCTTGCCGTCGATATGAATAAATCTACCAAAAAATCCGGATGATGCTAGCGACTTCTATTGCGAAATTGGCAAGAAATTCTAACCATAGTTTAACCAGAAATGATGAGCGCTAATCATTTATTTTCTCTTTTATTCATATTATTGTTATAATAAAATTAAATCGAATGCGGATGGAATGGCTCAAGAGATTGCTATTCGATTCGGAGCGCCGGTACTAAGGTTCCTCTCCATGCAGAAGTGAACTTGTAAGGTCCGAATGATGTTGCCGATTCACCTCTACTTTTATCGCCAAGGGACTTTCTGGGGCATATTTGTCTAGTTCGATAAGTCAACGGAGCGAGTCTACCAGTAATGTTGAGAGCTCTTTAAAAAAAAGTCGAATGTGGATAATAATTTGCATCAAGGTAGAGTGAAACTTTATTCTAAATATAGATTTCATTTGTTATATTTCTAAAATTTTTTTTTAGAAATCGAAGATATTTATTGCATGCTTATTGCTGGTTTGTTCATATCTCTGATATATCTTTGAAATGCATGATATATCAGAGATAGACTATTAATTAAGAACTCTGCTTTGCGAAGAAATTATGATATACTCGTTCCTAACATCATTATCGGATTAGACAAAGAAAATATTGTAAAGCAGTCGCTTAAATATGAAGTGAGCAAAACCGCAAGGTCAAAATTATAGGATATACATTAAATTAATGGAAGCTTAATTCAAAGAGTGTTCATTTTTAAATCCAGTATAAGAATAAAAATAGAATTTGAAAAAATTACTAACAGAGTTTTTCTGGATGTCGTCTACAGTTCAAATACCATGAATAGATATTTTTCCGACATCGAAGCGACAATTCTCGGTGATTACCATTTAGCAATTTTGATATATAAGGTTGGGATACACCTAAAAAAATTTTTGGAGCCATCAAATTTAAAATTTAAAAGATCAATTTGGAAATGAATGGCTGAAATAAAAAGAAGTTCATGTTTCTGAAGTTCATCCCTAGGCCTTACCCGAAAATTTTTCAAGAACAGAAAAATGATTTTAATTGATTTCTCGAATAAAAACGAAAAATTCAGGAAGCATTTCAATATTTGGCTCGTAAATGGCAATATGACCGTTGACTACTTTCTAGCTGGCTAACTGGCTGTTTTGCTCTATTAGCCTTTAAAAAATCCAGAAGATGCCGATCCATATGTAATAATTCATATTCCCCAGTGACTCTCTGGCAAAATCGACTTATTATGTTGGAACTAATCAGAAAAGGCGATTGCTATCCATTTATTATTTGGCTAGATAAAAATAAATTCCACTCTAATTAAACAAGTCTGAATAAGAATTTAACTAATTCAATTAAATTTAAATTTTATATATTCTATGTCAATCTTCATAATAAAATTGTTAAAAAACCATTTTCATTCAGAAATAATGAAGGCACAAAATTAAACGGTCAGTTCTCACCATTTTTGTAAAATCAGAATTTTTTTTCAAGGAGAAACAATTAGGGTCAGAAATATATGTGGATCTTCGTTTCCATATCTCATTGAAAGATCCTATCAGAGGCAGAAGCTAAACCCTTGCCTCAGCACTAAATCACTACATTATTCACTTTGCTGTCCTCTCAGAAGAGATACATATGATTGGATATGATTGGCTAACCTATAAGCGAAGAAATATTCATCAATTATATTTTCCCTCACTAAGTTCGTTTCATTGATATATTGCAGAAAAATGTATAAGCAATAGTTAAAATAACAGAAAAAGACAAAAAAGATTTTTGATACTTAAATCGAAAAAATATTACACTTAATTATGAAGATTGCAAGTGAACTTAATCTGCACTTTTTTTGATAAAAAATTTACCATTAGTTCTCAAAAAAATCCGAATTTCATCACGAATATATGCAAGAATTGAGCCAAAAATAATACGATCATATTCCCATCTTATCTTTTCTAATGCAAAAAATATGCAAGAAATTTGCCTTGATTTAAAATGGTGAAAAATGGTAAAATGGTGAAAATGGATAACGGATTTCACTGCTGTGTACAATGATAACTTCTTTTGTAAATTGGTCTTTTGGATTTGAGGGATTTGATTAAAATTCTTTTAATTAACTATTGAAAGATAAAATCATCCCGAAATTCCACCATGCCGCTGTAAATTTCGTATCGCTTCACAAATATATTTGTTGTCAACAAAAAAAGATAAATATATAAGCCTTAAAAAATCTATCATAAAGGCTAGCTTCACTATTATGATTAGTCATTTTCACCAAAGAATCATTCGTTTATTCCAAGCATCATTTGGAAAAATGTCTACAATGTCCTAGTAAGAGTAACATGGATTTGGTTCGAGATTCATCCAGGTTCCTCAAAAATTTGAATCATATAGAAATTATTATTAAATATTCTACCAGTCATCATAGCGACAGTTGTTTGTCGTAATGAGAATTGTGTGATAAATTGTTTCATATCTTGTATACATGCTTCTTCACCTTGTTGCATAAAGTCATCCAATTCACTTGGATCATCTAATGTCGTTATTTCGCGCATTGGTGTACGTTGCGAACGAATCGGTCGACAGCTTGATGGCGATGAATTACTATTACCATTACTATTATTATCGAAATTATATTGACCAAATAGGCATGTTGGTGCTACTGATATCGCTGACGATGATGTCGTTTCATTAGTTATCGTTGTTGTTGCTGTTGCGGTTGTCATTGTGGTTGTAGTTGTAGAGGCTGTAGATGCTAATGATACATTTTGCATTGAGCAGTTTTCTGGTGACGGTGATGATGATGACGCATTTATTGTTACTGATATAGGAGCCTAAAATTACTATTTTTTAAAAATAATTAATTGATAAAATAAAAAAGGGCTCTTAAAATTACTGTTGGAAACCAATTCCATCATTTTCTTCTTTATTCCATTGATTAAATTAGGGTCTAAACTTTTTGTGATCATAAAAAACCAAACGGAAAATCATTGATAAGATATTTATGATTATATTTAGTTCCATGTAAACTGCCAATTATTTATGAATTATATATATATATATAATTCACTTTATGCCGAGAATAGAATAGTACAGCGTGCGGTTGTTGCTTAAATTATCTCAAGATTCCGAAAGGAGTAAGCCTATTGATGAAAAGTGGAGTGGTATAGGAGGCAAGTGAACTTACTTGCTCTTCCATTCCCAAATATCTTACTAGCGCTATCTCTTCAGCAAATTTTCCAATAAAAATTTCTCATCGCATTAGTGGAAATTAATATGAAATATTGAGCTCTTACTTGTTTTAAACGACAACTATTAGTAAAATTACATATAAATTATAAATAAATATTTTTTTATTAAATGAATACTATTAATCGAATTTGTATTTAGTGCATTGCATTTCATCACATTTTTATTAATTTACCGTGCAACTGTGCAATTTTCTATACTCAGACTGAATGAATTTTGTTAACAGAAAGAAGAAAAAATCTGCAATATTTTCGTTAAGAAGAAAATGGATGAGACCGATTTTTGAAAGTGAATTGGGATTTAATATCTTCGATTACGTCCAAATTATTGTTATTAAGGGAAATTATAGGAAAATTTTGAATCAAATCTATTTCTTTTCCATCCTTAGAAATTTATGTCATAAATTCTATTTTAAAAAGAGGAAAAAAATTGGGAACTTAGCTAACTTATTTGCAGCTTTAGAAGGTGCAAACAATTTCTTCTATGAAAATAATTCAAGGTTTAATTTACTTGACTCCTAAGATGTTGAAGTAGAATAGGGCTAGTGGTTTCGAATGAATTTGTTGCCTCATCGAAATGAAACATTTTTGCCGCAGGTGCAATAAGTGCAGCAATTGCGGCTGTCTGCAAGCGCGCTGCATCCAAATCTGCTTCGATTTGTTCAAGTGCTCGAAATGCCTACAATATTTTAATTTTCACGTTAATTTTGTCGCCAATGAAATTTAAATTTTAACGAAAATCATTCAAAAATATATTGCATTTTATTTATTATTTTATTTCAAATTTATGCAAAAAATTTTGCAAGAAAATGAGGATTTACAAAAAAGTCTTGAAATTTCTGCATGTATATTGTCTTTTTTGTAATTCAAATTAACTAATTCAAAGAATTCAAAATTGAAGTAAATATTTTTGAAATTCATTTTCAAAAAAAACTTAATTCTCCAGTGAATTTCATCATCCCGCTTATTTATAATAGCAAAAAAAAGTGATTGTTCAATTTTTGGTTAAGCTAGCGCATAGAGTTCACATAGTTGTTGGTATGGTTAGAAATTCTTCGCTACGGATTCACTTGAAGACGAAACTACAGCTAAATTGCCAATACCACTGGGTTTTTTAATGATTTTAGTTTCTCTTTCTGCGGAAAGCACGATGATCTAAACCACTTTTCACTAGTGAATAACCATTAAAGAAATTATTCGATAAAACTGAAAAATCGACTAAATTATAAGGCAATCATTAAAGTCTATAACAGCTCAGTGGCTTATTGCTTTCATGTTGGAGCGCTGATAATGGGCTTCTAATCGCAGTAGGAGAAAACTGTCTTTTACGAATCGCTATGATGCTGATGATGCTCATCTTTGCTTCTATCACTAAATAACTTTAAAATTTTTCGGTCCGACAACTAAGCGAAACAAGGCTAACCAGAAATGGTGTTCCTAGCAAAAAGAAAAATTCAAAAAAAAAAGAAGGAACGATTCTTTTAAGAATTTTTATTTATAGTAGTTGTGAAAATATTTTTATTGTTCGAGTTGTTAAAACCGAATACAGCAGATGAATTTAAAAAATAGGATGAGCTATGTTTCTTGTCCTTCCTCTTAATAGCACTTATTATTCCTAGTTTTGACTCGAATAACGGCTAAGCTACGATATCTTCACCAGAAAGTCGCATATAAATTGCAGTTTGATCCACTAATCACTTCAAGCGAAGCATTTAGCAAATATAATGATTAAATATAAATGATTAAAATAGCTTTCCACCATTTTATTTATAATTTTACGTGGTCTCAAACAATCAAATGCATATGACAATTTTACCAAGTAACCAAAGGCGATTTGCGTGTGGAACCTACAAATCCTATGTGAATTTTATCGAAACGGCAGTCTTTTATAGAGTTTTAGAAAAATTTCCAGAGAAAAACTGATAAATTACATCGTTTTGATTGATTGGTAAGGAAGATCCCGAAATAAAATAGAAATGTAATAGAAAAATGCTCGAAATAAAAATTCATTTTTCTCATATTTGAAAAAAATTATGCTTTTCACTTCATAATTTCCATTAAAACTGTTTTATTTTATTAGAATTTATAATTATAAACCAACCAACTCTTTTTATAAACCAACTCTTAGCAATGAAATACTTTAGGAAAAGAGGCTTTTGCCAGAATACAAAAAATTGGTTTGGTTTTTTAGTTGAAGCAAAATCTACTCAGCCGTGCTGCACCCATTTTATATAAAATTGAAGTGAACTGAGCAAATCTTTAAACATTATCATATTTAACTAATACATTAAAAATTATAAATAATTAATATTAAAGTAAAAAATTTAATTTCCACGTTTTCGACGTCGTTCATTCATGATTTATTATTATAATAACTCTGGAAATTCATGCATCGATAGTGCAAAAAAATGTGCCATTATTATTCCTCAAATCATCATTTTGTATTCTGGCAAATGAATTTGTAGAAATATTCCAAAAAAATTTAATAATAATAATCTAAATTGATTGTTATTCAGAAAAATTATGAAAATATCTAAAAATTTCATTTTAACTAAATATGAATGTAAAATTTAAATTCCATAAAATAATGCCAAAACAGCAGAAACACCACCATTTTATCCATGAAGGAACCAAGAATAACAGAAGAAATCTATGCTTATTAATCTAAAACCTTCAAAATTTTTCGAAATCAGAATGGAAAAAAAAATTGCATGATCCCTTATAAATAAATTCGCACGCTAGTTATATATTATAAAATTATATACGTTTAAAGATAAAATATGTCCTTGACCCAACTCTTCATATTATCAAATATCAAATTAATTATTAATAAATAAGAAAGCAGTTACATTATTTTAACCTAAATATTTAGATCATTTCTAGCCAAAATATATATAAATTTAAAGAAATGATGAGGAAATTAAAGATTAAAGCAGTGGCAGTTGAAGCGTTCAGAACTTTGATTTCTGAATTAAAAAAATAGCTTCAACAGATTTCATGAACTCTGGTAAGAAGAATATAATGCGAAGAATAGTTATTAAAGCATGCGGAATCCTCAAAACTTTTAGATCTTTATTATAATTGTTAATATCCAAGGCTACGGAAGATATATTGCCTATAGGAAGGGAGAATGAAAATATAAACTTTTTAAAATATTTCTATTTTATCAATAAAAATATTTTATCGGCCTAATGATTCTTAATTTAAATAACATATTTTTTTAGGTTACATCTATCTATATAAACAAAAGTTTTCTAATTTTTCTGGATTTAATATCTCTGGGATTACATATAAGTTATTAAACACTGGTGATGAAAACAATTTTATCTTAAAACAGCCTTTTTAATTGATTTATCAACTGATTCATTAATTATTTTGAAAATTATTCGAAAAATTTTGATAAAAAATCATTTTCAATCCCAGTGGCAAAACGATTAGAGCTTATTCCTATCAAAATGTAATTTATTCCGAACTTCATATTCATATTATTCAAGGACTGCCTAATGGTCTTTAAGATAAATTAATGAAAAGTTTACCCAGTCATTATTGTCTACAAAAATTATACAACACATAAAGAAAGTGTAACGAATATCATCAAGACATAATACAAATTTCATAATCTGATTAATGGAATAATTTATCGAAAATTTTATCAAAACTGGAAATTATTCAAATTGTTAATGTTGGGAATTTTATCATGAAATTTTAAATTCATTCCACAATTATTGTTCTCGTCATTTGTTTTCAACCATCGCTAATTGTAATAAGCAAAAATATTTAAAACACTTCTAATAAATATCATCACAATATCAAAAGAAATATCAAAATATCAAAGAAATATCAAATATTAAGGGTTATATAATCGAATGGATAACGACTCAGATTCAGTTTTTCAGATTATTCTATTAGAGACAAGGTTTCGGCATCTCCTTTCGACAAGAATAAGAATCATTTAAAAACCCGGATGGTACTGGTGACCCATCTATATTTCCATTGCTAAGTGGAAATCGCTCCAACAATTTATCACTTATTTTGTTCATTAATAATAAATAAATAAATTAGCTGGTGTCTTCTTTAAATAATGCTCATCATATTTTTTTTCCGATACCACGAAACATGAAACAAACCTCAAGTACTGCATCAGGCGTTATTCCAGTCATACGCAATCGTCGAATCAATTCAAGCTGTTCCACAGTGAAAAGGCTCATTTCTCACCTATAAAGTTAATAATTATTATTTTGTGAAAAAAAACGCAAAAGCCTCGAGATTATACTTGCGTCGCTTCACTCTGAATATTCTGCAAATAAGTGTTCAAATTATTATTAAATCACTATGCTATATAAAATAAAAATCGGTACCTTTAAATTGAAATAAATATTTGACGATTTAAAAAAAATAAAAATTGCTAAAAAGGATTAAAGCAAATTAAAATCGCGAATAGTTGGTCCCATGATAAAATTAAAAATGGTTTAAACTGAGCCAATTGCACTAGTTTTTAAAAAAAAGAAATTTTGATCGCAAACTTGGATTATTAAAATGATATATATAAAAGTATAAAACGTGAAGCATGATAATAAAAGGTTTGAGAAACTAAAGATTCGAGAATCTGCTGAAGCAGCATATTAGTTATTGCAATTAATTACAATTATAATTTATTGTAAAGCGGTAGGTAGGTGAACAATGGTTAAAAATTATTGGGCCAAGAGGACAAAAATTCAGCTTGTATTCTCGACAAGACCTATAACCTATAATTTTTAAACCTATAATTTGAAAAAATAATAGAAAAATTCCAGCGTACTGATGATCTGTGCTAACAGCCAACAGCCAATGCAGCGAGAAATAATAGGCGCTAACCACTTTTTTAAATAATTTTAAAAAATAAGATGTAATGAAAAAAGGACATCATGCATCATTATCAGCGAAAAAAAATTTTTTGTCGTTTATTGCTTTCATTTTTCGCCAAATTTTTTGCAAAAAACTTCCCTATTTGTTCCCTACTTGTTATTTATAAGAAAACTACTATTGCCCAATTAATTTGCCCAATTAATTAAGTGAATTTTTTGGGAAATTTCATCCTCTTTCACACTTAAATCTCTACATAGACTACATAAATCTCTTCACCTACCTTTGGTAAAAAAAAAAGGGAAAATTTACAGAGTTTTAAAAAAAGATACCCAAGGAATATCGATCTCTGCATTTTCCATAAGCAATATACGCAACATCGACTATTTTTGATCGAAAATATATATAAAAAGGGCATATTGATCGAACGAACTTTATCATTAAAATAAAATTTCAAATAAATTATGACAACTATACGATAATCCTTAAAGATTGTTACTATTATAAATTATTGATAAATTATCTTAAATAAGTGGAAATTTTAAGATCGCCTTATCATGTTCTTTCAACGGCGAACAACCTGGGGACACGCGCATGGAAGATATTTTCAATGACAAGGTCCATGAGGATAATGTAAATGAAACTGCAAATCGGTCGCCTACAACAGCGATCAAACAAGTCCTTCTTCTGATAGCTCTCAGCATTTTTGGCTCTGGATTAGCTATTAGAACAAACCTTCGCAAGAAATTCACTTGGTAATAGAAATGCTGACTAAGTTACGATTTATGATACTTAAAATAATAATAGTCAACATTAAAGAAATATTGCATATCAAAAGAAAGCCAATTATTTTAAATGATGTCGTAATAATAATATCCAGATATATTGACTTCATCGATTCATAAATATATAAATCGAAGAAGTGATTAAAATTTCGCGTTAATAGAATTACCTGACTAACGATAATTAATTCAACTGAAAACAATTCAGAAAAGTCAGCTGAAAAATATTCTTTGACTTTCTGAACTTGAAAAGGTCTTTCATTAATTAAATTAATTACGTCCTTTTTTTAAAATAATATATTTCTTAATATTTTTCTCTCCTTTAGGACTTCGAAAATTCGCCTTGACGAGTAATTTTCTTCATTTTATTTATTAGGCGACAGGTGAATAAATCACCTGCAATAAAAGCAATAGGAGAAAATGCACTAATGAAAAAAACGTAGATATTGAAAATTTTGATCATTTTTAAAGTGATTTAACGAGAAAATATTCCAACAAATTAGTATAGTAACACTAGTAAAGAGATACGTCTCTCTATGGTAAAAAGTGGGTAATGATGGATTCAAGTAAAATTCCATTGCAAATGCCCATAAAAAAAGTTTTGTGGATCTTTCACAGAAAATTTTGGAATGGTGGCAAATAAATAAGTTATACTGCTTCATGACTTTTTTGGGGAATTTTAAAGTGTCCAAAATTTTTTTCAGCAGAAATTACCAAAAATGAAAGAGAAATAGAAATTAGAAATTTTGACGTAAATTCACTTTTAAAAATGTGTTTAAAAAAATAAATTAAAAGAAATAAACAAAAAAGGAAAATTTTATTTAGGAAATTTCCAATTATTTTTGAAGGCGAATTCATTTTTTCTATTTTTCTAACTATTTTAATTTTTGCCGAATAAGTTGAGGAATTCGACTTTTTAAACTGTACAATATTTAAAATTATATGAGGCCATTTTGCAAATTTTTTTTATGCACACTGACTAAACCTTAATCATTTCTGTAATTACTTACTCATTCTATTTTATCAAATACTGTGTAAGGCTCGCCTACTGTTCAAGAAATAATGTGATCGCGTAAGAGAATGTAGACATGAGAGGTTTTATATAAATTAACAGAGAATTTAATAAATTATTGGAAGACGGCAATTTAATGAATAAAGAGAAAGGTAAAAAGGAAAAAAGAAAGATCGCCAGCCGTCGTCATATGACACAATATTAAAAGATAAAGCGGATTTACCAGATATACAATTTAAAAAATAGGCCAAAAACGTGAATTTTTTGATGTATAAGTGAACTTTTATGATCTTTATCGTCCTGAATAAATAAAAAAAGAATGAAAAGAAACAATTAATAAGAACAATGTGAACAAAAATATAGAAACGAATTAATTATTCGTAAAAATTTTCTTATTCTTAATAATATATTCTACGAAAAAAATCATAAATATGCAAATTATAAAAACAAAGTGATAACGTGGCAACTGTTAATTGAATGGCGAAATTTCTCAACTCATAAAATTTAACTAACGATTTGAATATGAATGTAAATATGCTATTTTTAAAAAAATTACTTTGGAAATTTTAGGAGAAAGTATGAGATATAGGAAGTTAAAAAATATTGCTGAAAAATATTGCTGAAATTGGCGAACTTAATTAATTAAATTTTACATCATAAAACTGAATTTTAGAAAAGCTTGAGAGCTTAAGAGTTCATATCTTAGTTCTCAATTTGCTCAATATCTTTGCTATTTTTACCAATGCGCTCTTCTGGACAAAGATCTGATGTTTCTCGAATCACTTCCAGTTTAGGGCTATAATCAAGTAAGTGGCCTTTTCTACTGAAATATCTGCTCAAACCCGTACAAGATCGGCAGAGCATTCGCTAAAAAATCTTGAATAACAAGACTACGATTTTGTGGAACTTACCTATCCAGACAAATAAGCAAGCACTTACCAATCAACCAGGTATTGTGATAGTAGACAAAGCCAGAAATGATAAATTTCGATATATAGGATGATGTATAGCAAAATATAGAATGTCGAGTAGAGCAATATCAAATGACAGGACATCAGGAAGAAAGAATATGAGAAGCTGAAGGAATACCAGAGGTAGAGAAAATAAAAGCCAAAGAGATGACAGTAGTGGTAGAATACTGAGGGTTGTGATCCCTAAATTAGAAAAGTGGCTCGAAAAGATCTCAGGAATAATATCAGAGGTCTTTGCCCATAAGAGCGCATTGGAACAACTAAGATACTGAGCAGAACCTCTGGTTCCTCTGGTAGTTAGACCACCTATAGGAGGTGAAAATTTTATATAAATATTGAACCTCATTGAACCATTTAACATTTACTTTATTAATTACTCACTCTCCTCCGAGTTTTCCTGAAACTATATAAAGAAACTATTTGCTTGAGACTATTTTTTGATAAAAGTATATTGATTCAGAATAAACTGGCATTAGATTTTAAAGCTTTTTAATTGAACGAAGACTAAATTCGAAACACTTGAATAGATAGTAATAAATAACTTAACAACTTATCAAAACACTCGTAATAAGTGCATAAAAATAATCCATGAAATTCGAAACCCATGTATGACGACGATACAGTAATTTGAAGTTATCTGCAGACAAAGAAAACAAATATAATTGGTTAACAGACATCGTTTAAAACAATTTATTATGTCTCATGCACTTGTTTCAAGAATGGATACTGTATGCCATGAAACATCTTAATTGCAATATATATCTATATTACCTAATCTTCCTAACATATCTCAGTGTTTACATAAATTATATTAAAATGGAGCTTTTTAAAGGTATGGAATCAACTGAAAAATTAAAATACAAAAGCTTTACTTTATTCAGTAGAAATGGAAATGGAAGGGAAAAAATAAAACAAAAATAAAAGGCAAATTCTTAAGTTTAAATGGAAAATATATAATGGATATATTTATCAGTTATGACCATCAACAACAAATGAAATGGATTTAACATGTTGAATGCATTTTCATCACCATTTTCATCAAATCATTTGATCTGGAAGATTGCGTTAAAACGGCAAGTTTATTTCGAAGTCTTAGCTTTTCATCATAATTTCATAAAAAAATCTCTTTCTGAACGAACTTTTTCAACCGATCTCGTCAAACAAATATAAAATAAAATTAAAAAATTGTAAAAACCAATTATAAAATTGAAAATGAGCTTTAAAAAAAATTACAAAGACTTCAAATGAAGTAAAAAAAATAAAATAAATGATTGAAAATTTTGTGAAAACACATCAAATCGTTACTGCTTACTTGTTTCCAAATAGCTAAATAAGACAATGCAAATATATTTCAATGCAAGTTAAAATAAAAAAGGCTCTTCTTGCGTGGTTTCATGAGATATTTCCATCAACAACCATTTAGCTTCACTTACGCTACTGTGGAAAATGTCGTACGCCTGATATAGAAAGATTGCAACTACCTATAATCTAATGAGTAGTCCAGCGAAAATTCGTAAACAAATACTAAGCACAAAATTTTTTTTCTCATCTAAGCTTATGAATTTTATAGAAGAGTTGTGAAAATAAGATAAAATATCTAG